GGTTTCGGTTCTATTCCATCGGGAAGGTTTCGGTGGAAATCAGTATGTCTTCCACACCTTCTTTTACCGCAGAAAACGAAATTGAAGATCAAGTGAGACAGATGGTTTTCGTCTCTTGTATGATACTTCTTCGTGTGAGATCGGTTTAGGTTTCGGATACAATGAGAGATAGAAAGACGTTTATTAGGGTAGGTTTTACGATGTTACTGAAGGAACCTGGCGATAGACTAAAAATATCGGAGAAGTATATTTTCGAGAAGTATATTTTCGCCACGGTCTTGAATTAGAGAAGTAAAAAAAACAACGGTCTTGNATNCAGCACTCTCACAGGAATCGAGATAATTGAGCTCAAAGTTGACTGTTTGGGTGGGATTCTATTAGAGGAAATACGGCACTTTTCGTGGGGTGTTTAGGAGCAATTCAATTAGAGGGGAACTTCAATTAGTGGGTGCACATATATCAAAGGGACATCGTTCATTCAATCAAAACAAAGAAGAAACGGACAACAAGTATTTCAGCAAAAATTTAATAATGTTGCGGTCAATGAAAGTAGACAGTAATAATTCCATGTTCCATCAGACCGGAAATGATTTTTTTGCACCTTCCGTTTCCAAATGTTTTGCGGCAACGTTTCAGCTTGAGTTCTCTGAATGAAATCTAAAACTAAGAATCGTCTAGGGCTCGATTTTGTTTGAATATCTGATTATCATTTTTTCCAGGTGTCGCCTATCTTTTATACGGATTCCAATCATGTTTCAACCTTCCCATTTTCTATTTTTTCCGTCTTGAATTCCGTCGTCGATGTCACCAACTTCTCCGATTCCGTCAACCCGGATCGAACACAATCGTGGTGAGTCGGTGGGATTCTTCATTCATTTTCAGACATTTTCAGTTCTTCACATTTTTCAGTCGAACGACATAAGCCGACAGAAACTATCTCGTGTTCATGCTTCCTTTGTCAACACTGCTATATAAATATTATGTCTGTTCAAACATACATATATACTTCATTTATTTTTGTTCCAAGAAACTTTGATTCAGAATGAATATTTTAAATAGTTTTTATGATGCGAAATTAGTTGAAAAGAGATCCAGATGAAATTAAAGTGGAAGGAATAGGCAACTTGGGAATCGGGGAAAAAAGAAAATTTATGGGTTTTAGTCATAATAAAGACGGACTCTTGACGTGCTAACAAGAAGATCTCCATCGTAGAAGAGAGTCTCCACAACGACGTTTCCACTGAAATCCATAGAATAAATTTTAAGTCTCTGAGATTTTTTCAATTTTGAAAGTCAACAAAATATAGTAAACCTTTTTGGATTTCTCTGAAAATGTTACAGTGTACTGAACAAAAATAAAGCTTTATTTTTGTAATTAATAACTTTTATCTAGAAACTCATCCAAATGAGATATGTCATGTGGAAGTGTGGGTACCTTTTGGCACCGCTGGCAACTGCTCTGGTGGCGGTGTCTCGAAGTACCCACACTTATCTCGTCAGAAGCTCACTTTACAAAAAAGTTGTCAACCACAAAAATGAAGCTCTATTTTTGTTTAATATACTGTAACAATTTCAAAGATTTAGATAAACGTTAAAGTAGTTTTGTACGCATTTGAAGTTTGATAATTTTTAACTAGGCGAAAATACTGAACTTTGGCCCAGTACTGTGTCAAAAACCATTTTCTCAAAAATCTGAATAAAAACTGAATCCCCCTGTTCCCAAGTCAACAATACATCACACAGAATCTAACCTGAGAAGAGATGGCGGGAACATTTGGGATTCTGGAGCGGCTTCAATCATATTCTGCCACGTGTTCGTCGAGTCAGGAATAACGAATCCGAAATCGAAAAACCATTCTGAATTCAAAAATAGTTTGTCATTCGGGATACTATTCTATTCAGATATTGCGTGTGCAATAACATTATGAATATTCTAGTGATTCTCGTACCTTCGATGATGGTTCCCTTCAGATAAACACGTTGTTCGAGTCGAAACTTCTCGATTTTTACAGATGATGTGAAGTTGATCTCACGGGATACTGTACGACACTTGAGAAGGTTCTTTGGTACATGAGCTGCAATTTTTTAAAGTTAGAATCACATTTTTCTTTTAATAGGAAGCCATTCTCTTTGCAACAACACTGCCTCCCCGCGGCCGCCCTCCCCTTCTTTTCGCGTTGGTTTGTCTACACACTCTGTGTATAGAGAAAGATGCGGCAGCATGGCGCAGTGGTTGAAGGCGCGGTTGTTGTTCCACAGCCTGTCGCGCTCGACCCTCTCGTTGTCAGTGAAGATAATACTTACCGCCCCAGGCATAATGTTTGTGATGATTGGTTTATTCCGAGACTTTTTTAAAAATTACCTTTGTGTTCCTTTTTTGGGTCCGCCATATCCTCGGTGCTTTGCCATAGTACTTTTCCAGTCTCTGCGTCACGCAAGTTCATCCAGTTGAGTTTGAACCCGGCGAGAATGCTCTCAGCTCGTTCGCTCATTTTTGGGTCTGGATGACGGGTTGCAGTGGTAGTCATAGCTCTATCAAGTGGTGTTCTGTTGCCCTGGAAAAATCATATAGTAATGTTTTGGAAGAAAAATGACGACAGAATTAGATAAAAAAGAGAACCGGTCATCTCTCAAGAACAAGGAAGAATAAATATTGACAAAGAGTGACGAGTGCCCGGAGGAAAAAGAGCAAAAAGGGAGATTTTCATGAAAAAGGTGGACACTACACACGTGGATCCTTGATTCCGTATATACGGAAGTCGTGTTATAAGTGGAACTTAAACTTTATGGTTATACAGATTCCCAATAGGGAAAAATCTGATTCAGAACTTTTCAAATTAGGAGGAGGTTGGAGAGAAAAGAGAAAAAGAGAAAAAAAAAGAAAAAAAAAGAAAAAAAAAAGAAAAAAAAAGAAAAATGTATACATTTCACATAATTAGGTTTTGCCATCTTTTTTTTCTTAATATGTGTGTCTTCAGGGTGAGAAAAGATGTAAACGAGTCGAAGAAAAAAGTTTTCAAGATTTTCTGAGGGAAGAGCACGACGTCTTCTTCTTCTTCTTCTTTTTCTTCTTCCGATTGCTTTCGAAGCCTTCACTCTCGACTGCCCGCCGAGCTCCAAATTAACCGAAAAGGAGAGAGTCGGTAGGAAATAGTGTGGAAAAAAGAGAGAAACAGAGAAAAGAGAGTGAAGATGGCAAAAAAGGAGAGGGTGAAGAGAAGAGGAAGGAAGAAAAGCTCGATTCGAGTTGAAGAAAGCTGAAGAAAATGGGGGGAAGAAGATGGAAATGGAAAAGAAAGAAAGAATTTTGAAAAGAGTGAAAAGAGTCTCGGAACGAACAGGTGAGGCACCAACTGGGGCAGGGCGAACGGGGAGGGGGCGGAGCCTCCTTGGAATCATTAACTAGATTTTTGGGAGAAAATGTTCTAGAGCAACAGGGGGAAAGATGGCGTCAAAGTATGAATATATTAGAAGACCCAGGATCTTCTTACTGAATTGATATCATGGAAATGGAAATTAAAAAAAAGAGTATTTTTGTTGATTGCAATGAAACATTCAAAGTCACAGATTGTCATTTTTCGATGTCTACAGAAGAACCGTAAAACCTGTAATAGAAGGGCCCCCACACTGACAAGTTTGAGCTAATCTATCTTGGCTCCCATGCAAGCTATTAAAAATGTGTCATCTGATAAAAAGTCTTTGATAGTTTGATAAACAATTTATCAGTTGACACTTTTTTGACATCTTTATTAGGGACCGAGAAAAATCAGCTCGAACTTGACAATAAGTAAGCCCTTCTATTACAGTTTTTACGGTAATTTTCCAATTTAGTGATCACTAGTGATCACTTTAAATAAAAAACCTTCAAAGATTAACAAAAATTTAAGTGGATCGGGAAACTTTCGAATAGAAATTAGAATCGATCAAAAATAGGAGTCAGACTAGTTCCAAATTGAATTTTTGCATTGTCAATTTTGAGCTCAATTATCTCAATTCCTATGCAAGATATCAAAAATGTGTCAACTGACGAAACACTTCTGATAATATGTATGATAAATAATTTATCTGCTGACAACTTTTTGACATCTTTGACAGGAACTGAGATAAAATCACTCAAAATTAAAGCGAGGGTTGCCTTTCTATTAGAGGTTTTGAGGTTTATTCTACATGAAGTTTCTGGATTCGTTGAACGGAGCAGTTGTTACTAAATTTGAAATCAGTTTAGTATAATTCTTGAAATGGGTTTTCAGATGGAAATTAGAAGTACAAAGTGTATATTTTTCAATCCTACGATAATATAAGAATATATTCTTCATACACACTACAAACATAATTTTGAAAATAACCTCCAAAAAGTGCCAAAACAAGAAAGCAAACATTGTCTTTGCTTTTGAAAAAAGTATTTGCTTTCGAAGAGAAAACACACATACTCCCTGTAATCTGTACAATTTTAGCTTTCTTATCAAAAATTCTAAGTACTGTAAAACCTGTAATAGAACGGCCTCTATAACTTTTGACTTTGAGCCAATCCATCTCGGTTGGCATGAAAGATATCAAAAAGTGGTCAACCGAGAAATTGTGTATCATAATATCCCAAAAATTTTATTATTTGACCCATTTTTGATATCTTGCCCAGGCCCAGAAATTGAGATAAATTAGCTCAAACTTGACACTGTGGGAGCCCGTCTATTACAGGTTTTACGGTATAATATAAAAATTGAAGAACGAAGGTAAGTATTAGAAGAAGCGAATCGTGTCTCTTCTAGGAAAATAGAGGACCTTATTCTCTATATTTTTATTCTTTTTTATATTTGTTCAGATAGAAATGAAGATTGCGAAAACACATGTGTGGGATTTCCTGGGAAGGCTCTTCTCTATTTTATTAGAGCACCAAATGAAAACATACAACGACCAGACAAAAAAAACTGATGTGTGTTTTTTGAAATAAAATGGGTACTGAAAGTACTCACAGTGAACTGAATCGTTATCCAATAATCCCCCTCACTTACCTTTTCCTCTCTATTTTAACATTGAAAACATAGTGTATAATAAACTGGAATTTGAAACGATTATCGAGCGAAAAGCGAGAAAAAAGAAGGAGAAGAAGCGAGAATGTTGTTGTGAGACCCGTGAGAAGAGAGCATGCATTTCCGATTCATCCCGTTGTCAGGGGCAACAAGAGATGCTATTAGAATGTAAAAGTAGTTTGCGGAGAAATGGGAGGAAATGTGGAGGGAAAGATATGATAGCTTTGGTAGTAATGATGAAGGTGGACATTTTATGAGAAAAAATTCTTTCAAGGCGGAGTTAACAAGTTATCAGAGAACGACTACTCTAATAGAATGAGCTACTAACTTTCAACTTTGAGACAATTTTTCTGAATTCCTGCCAAACATATGAAAAAGTTGTCAACTGATAAACTGTTCATCATAATATCACAAACATTTTATCAGTTGACACATTTTTGATATCTTGCATAGAAATTGAGATAATTGAGCTCAAACTTGACGGTGTAGGAGGGTCTTCTATTACAGGTTTTACGGTATGTTGGAGTGAAAACTGAGAACATTAAATAGTACACTTAAAATAGATTCAACTGAATTCAACTGAATATAATATGGAACAAAAGGTCCATCGAATGTCAGGAATACCCGGATCCCATCTTTTGCGGATCCAGTTTTTTACTCGGGGAGCTTATCACTGTTTCAAATTGTTGTATTCTCAATTATGGACTTTTTCTCAGACGCCTATGTGAAGGCTAGAAAATCGAAATGGTTCTCAGTTCTGAAATGTAAGCTCCACACTCCTGAAAATGGGCAAAATGGCCGAAAATCAACTGAAAAGTATGTTTTTGTATATCTTGAAGACCGGTTTTGTAGGTTTGGGTGATCTGGATGAAACCCTTGTACTTTTTTTGCTCATTCAATTTATTGAACTACCATCCATCTATATGCCGCGCCACCGGTGCTCGAGACAGGCTGGTAATTATTGTTAGAAATTCAAATACGCCGAAACGTTTTGCTGGGTTTCCTTTCTTTGTAATTCTTCGAGAAACCCTTTCCTTGTCCCTTTCATGAAGATTCAAGATGTTTTCACTTTCATTAATCGAAACCGGGAACTAAAAACATAGCATCGAAGTTCATGGTTTCGGAATTTTGAATCATGGGAATACAAAATAAAGTACATGATGAATGAAATATGTTTGAGAATTTCAAAATTAAAAATGTCTGGTAAATAAATGCTAAATGGATCGAATATGCTTGAAAAACACAGATCATACTTGGTTAGAACATACATCATGAATGAAACCAATGCAAATTTATTAGTCAGCACATGCGCATCAATGCAACCCAATGAAGTCTCGGAAATCAGAGAATCTTCTCATCCTCTCATTCTACATACATTTCTTTCATTTGGCTCCTCCATTTCCGCTTGTTTCTTTTCTCTGTCTTCCGTGACTAATTACGGCACCAAGATGAGCTTCAAAAATACTATTACTTCGAGCTCTCCACTTTATTGAGCATTTTCTTCGCAGACCAAACTAGGCTAATTTTTGTGCTTTTGCTCTTTCTTTTTTTTAAATAAGTGCAAACGGCTACCTTGTTTCTTGAACGTTTTTCGGGTCCACTACTACAATAATCAAATGAAGGGATGATAGAAGGAATATACGAGTGAAAAGAAGATGAATCTTCTTCTCTTACAAACCAAATTTTAAGCCTAGTTTCGCTTTTCAAATCATAGCTTCTGAAAAAAATCAACAATTCAGACTACCGTATTTCCAGAATTTTTGGAACTGTGATTTTCGAACTCGACAATTCTCAATTTCTGAACTTTCTAGTTTCTAAATTTCGGAATTTCAGATTTTTTTCCGGAATTTCAGAAATCCGTAATATTCAATTTTGAGATCCTCGAATCTCAGACCTTCATAAATTCGGAATTTGGGAGTTTAGAGTTGCTGAATGAATTTTTCGAATTCTCCAAAACACTGAATTTCAGAAGTCATGAAAAAGATGACTAGTAAATTCTCCTGAAAGAAAACCATGCAAGCCAAATATTTTCATTACAGTAGTCCAGAAGTACTCCAAAAGTTTTCTCAAATTTCTCATCCGCATTTTCTCTCCAGATGAGACTCAAAATCTATCTACGCAATATGTGCTCATATCACATTTCACAAGCTGCATTTAGATATCCAGATTCTTTAGGAAATATGCTTTAGTATGAACGATAGGACAGTCTGGAAAAGTTCTTGGCATTTAATTTTTTGACTTTTGAAAATATTAAACTACCGTAAACACTCAATTAGAGGCCCCATCCAAACCGTCAACTTTGAACTTATATAGCTCGTTTCCTGTGAAAGATATCAAAATGGGGTCAACTGACAAAATGTTTATCATGATATCAAAATTATTTTATTAGTTGATAACTTTTTGACATATTTTACAGAAAACGAGATAAATTGGCTCAAATTCAATGAACCCTTCTATTAAAGTGTTTACGGTATTTCATTGGAATGTTTTATAGGTTAAAAAACGATGTCCTAGCTGGGATTTTTCATTACTAAATAGAGAATATTTTCTCATAACAAAACAATTCAGAAAGTTTTGATTTCGCTTATTCAGATTTTCAGAAATCCGGAATATCTTTCGTAATCTTTCTTTTTTCTCGTTCTTTGCTCGTTGCGTGTCGTTTCCAGCCATATTTTCTTCTTTTTCTTCATCCTGCCATCCTTTAAAAACACCTCAATTATTCAAAATTCTTATTGTTTTGCCTGTGAAATCCTATTGTCTCCCATCACCTCCTTTTCCTTCCAAAAAAACAAAAAAAACGTTTTTCCACACCTCCATTTTAAGATATTTCTGTTTTCTCATTTTCTTCACTTCCTTTTTTTTCGAAAAGATAGCATAGTAGTAGTAGTAAGAATAATAATAAATTCATAAAAATGTTTGAGCAAGAGGAAATAGCGGATGGATTACTATAGGGAGCAGAGACGAAGCGAAGGATGTGCCCGGAGGCGAAGGCCATTCGATACTTTTGACGCTTTTTTTCCTGCAAATCCGAAGCTTCATAAAAAATATACTGATCCCTTTTTTAATCCCATTTCCATATTATAACTTGTACTATGTTATTATGCTCTTTGATGTTAAAAAAAGCAAAAATTATTCCCAAGACATAATTTCCAATTCTGAACTTTGTTACTTTCTGAATACAGAATCAGAATTGTCTCGAGAGTAGAAAAAAAGAAGAAGGGGAGTTTTCCGAAAATCGGGTTCACCTTTTTGTGTCGAATGACGTCTTTTTACTTTGGGGCTCGCAGAGCACCACAATATGATGAACCGGAGAGTGGCTAATCTTAAAGACTTCTCCTCTTTCTTTTCGTTGTAACACACACACATCTTTTCTCATCTCATCATAACCTGTCATTTCTTCACTTTTCTTTTTCTCTTTTCGTTTTTCATATTTTCTTTCGATCTTTCTCTTTAGTCTCATCTCATTTTCCTGATTCTCATTAGTACACTTTATAATTGGCCAAATTTGATACTACTTGAGCAATAAGATCTTTTTTGTTTTGTTTCAAGTTTCAGATTCTTATATTGTTTCTCAAGAAGTCTCTCATTATTTTTAGTACTTTGCACCTTCTGATACTTTCTAGGAATGAGAATTTCAGTTTTAGAAATTATGCTGAAAGATTTGATATTATCAGTGAATTTTAATAGTGATAGTGATAGAGAGTGCTGGAAATGAGAGAAACTCTGCTGGAAAGTACCCATGCTTTTTCAGAACTTCCGAAAAATTCCAATTCTGAAAATTTCAAAAAATTTGAAATCTTTTAAAAGTGAATTTGCATGTTTTCCACATTCGATTTTTGAGGTACCGTAAACACTCTAATAGTCTAATACTTGCGATTTGAGCTCAATTATCTAGGTTCCTATGAGAGATATCAAAAAAATGTCAACTGATAACATTTTCATCTTAATATCAGCAATATGTTATTAGTTGACCAATTTTTCTTATCTTTTATAGATATTGAGATAATTGAGCACAAAGTACAAGTATAGGGTGACTTTCTATTACAGGTTTTACGGTATTCAGAAATCCCTTTTTTCCTATCACGAAACCGTAGATAATTGGTGAAAACTTGACAAACGTTTCGAAAAAGCGAAAAAAAAATTAAAATAATCCCGCTCAAGACCCGAAAGAAAACTCTTTACGTGCGCCTTTGAGCATACTGTAGTCCAAATTTTCTGAATTTCTGGAAATCCGAGTTCTGTTTCGAATATACCGTAAAACCTGTAATAAAAGGACCCCCACATCGTCACGTTTGAGCTCAATTATCTCGATTCCTATGCAAGATATCAAAAATGTGTCAACTGATAAAATGTTTGATATCTCCTGAAGGAACCGAGATAATTCAGCTCAAACTTGAGTGTCTGAAAGTTCCGTTTAAATTTTTTCTTTGCCTGAAAGTGCCGTCTAAATTTCTCATTGATTCATAAATCACCAAACTTTGAAATGAAGACTGAACTCGAATCTGAATGTATTGTTTAGGAGTATCAGCTCTTTCACAATTCGGTTCTTCCACTACATTAATCGGATCCCTGTCTATTAGTCTGTTCTCTATTAATTAATTCTTCTTCCCATAGAATATTCAACAAGTTTCAACAAGCACTTCTAGAGAGGCCATTGCTCCTGCCCCACAGATACATTTTCGTTTTCTTTCTCTTCTTCAGAAACTTCTTCGTTTTCTTCAACTACATCTTCTTCTACTTCTTTATCTCCTTCTACTTCACTCGTTTTGTTCCGATTGGAGATGAATCTGAGGAGAAGAATTTGAATCTAAAGAAGAAGAAGGAGTGGAAAGGAGAAGAAGAAGAAGCAAGAAACGACGGATCACACGGCCCTTCTTTTTTCTTTCATTCCATTACAAGTTGCACTCAGATTTTCAACTGAAAACTTGTTTTATCTCCCTCTCTCTCTCTCTTTTGGGATTTCGTTTTGATCATTTTTGACCAATTCCTTTTCTTCAGGCATTTTCCCCCATTCCTGATCCATCTCTCTTCTTCCAGCAATTCTACAGTATTTCACTTCTACAAGAATCTCTGAGGCTGAAAAAAAAGATACAAGTTGCGTCTCCTAGATTTTTCAAAGGTTTTCATGTGCTCTCTAAGTCTGCGTCTCTCAATTCGAAACTCTATTTTTCTGATTCAATTTAAGCGCCAAATTTGAATATGACCTGAATAGAGAGTTGGAAGTGCAGGAGAGCTCTTTTCTTGAGATTTTCGATAGAATCCGTGTCTTTTTTGAATAGCGGTACTCTAATGAAATAGAGTAGTGTGTCTGGGCGGGGGAAAAATAATCCTTGAACAACAACTACTGTAGATGTTTTGAAGATCAGAGTTTTTTGAGAACGTATTCGACTGTTTGGGATATTTTTTATTGTAATAGCAAAATAATGATTTCAAAAATATTACCGTAAAACCTGTAATAGAAGGCCCCCCTCACTTTCAAATTTAGGAGTATTTAAATATCTCAGTCCCTGTGATAGATATCAAAAAGTTGTCGACTGATAAATTGTTCATCATAAAAAAAATAAAAAATTTTTATCAGTAGACACATGTTTGATATCTTTTATAGCAACCGAGATAATTGAGTTCAAACTTAAAAGTGTCGAGAGTCGCTTTACCATAAAACTTTTATGGTGTCTCCAAATTTTTCAATCAGGAAAAATAATAGTCGTTTCTGATTTCTAAAAACTCAGGACCAACCATGATCTTGTAATTATTTTGAAGTGTTTTTTAAAACATGCAACATCAATAATTTTTGGTACCAGATTCATAAACTGAAAATACTGTTGAAAAGCAACATTACTGTAAAACCTGTATTGGAAGAGCCGGTCCTTCAGTTTTCACAAGCCCCTCTCGGAGGGCCCTTCTAATAGAGGGGCTCTTCTACTAAAGGGGACCTTCTAATACAGGTTTTACGTTATTCTCCATAGTATAGTAATGGGGACATTAAGGATCTCAAAACATCGTGAAACTATCGTCAGCGCTGAAATTTATGAATTACCGTATTTCATCTAATAGAAGCCCACCCAAATCGTCAACTTTGAGCTCAATTATCTCCATTACTGTGAACGATATCAAACATTTTTCAACTGATAAAATATTGGTGATCATGATAAATAGTTTATCACTTGACGACTTTTTGATTCCTTTTACAGAAAATGAGATAAACTGGGTCGAAGTCAGGGAGTCTTTTTTTATTTACCTCGTAAATGCTGTAACTAAAGTTTGAGCTCAATTATCTCGTTTCCTGTAAAAGATATCAAAATATCTTCAACTGATAAAATATTGGTGACATTATGATAACCAATTTGTCAGTTGACAGTTTTTCAATATTTTTCACAGCAATCGAGATAATGGAGCTTAAAGTGGTTTTGGTGGGCTTCTATTAGAAGAAATACCGTATTTATTTTCCTACTTTCTAAAGATATCTAGAAACTTCAAAGAAATTGAAAAACTGAAAACATTGATGTTTTAGAAAAGAAGCTTCAGAAGTTTCTAAGGAGAACCTGCCTAGATTTACACATATTTAGATGCATCAAAAGTTTTTGCCAACTTTACATTTCACAAACTTTAATCTGAAAGGTCTATATTTCAAAACTAGAAGCTCATACCAGTTGGAAAAAAGATGTAATATCTATTCTTCTTGCTATAGAAGAAAAAATAAAAAGAGCAATATGCAAAACCAGCTGTATAAAGGTGACCTGGAAGAGGCCGAATGTGGCATGTGCCGTTTGACTCGTTTTGTGCCCCTCACATTCACTTTCTCTTCTTCCTCTCTTCACTCTTTATCCACCAAATAGCCACTAAAATGAAGTGGTTTTCGTTTTTGGGTGGGGGGCACCACCTTTTCCTTTCTCCAAAGAGCTAGGTATGCTTTTTCTCTGTGTCTGGGGGGATAGATGAATGCAATGTGTTGCACCTCCAACACAGTTTATAAGGTTTCCCCTTTTTTGTTGCAACGAGAGAAAAAGAAGAGATTGAGAGAGAACGTTGTTGAAAAAAAGGTTCTTGTCTCTTCCGTTTTTTTCGTTTTCCTAAAAAAATTTTTTCAATATCCTATTTATTTCGTATTCTAACACAGAATTCAAAATTAGTTCCCGGTTCCAGTCATCAGAAATTCATATTTTTCTATAACTAATTCTTCCCAACCAAATTTGTTTTTGTTTTTAATTAATTTTCTTCTAGAAATCTAAAAATCTGAAAATAGGGCGAATCATTTTGTTCATCTTTGAACTAGCCGCATTATTCATGCATCGTCTGAAAATCACATGAAAGCTTATCTCTTTTTTTTCCTCGTGATTTCGTTTATCTCTTCAGTGGAGTACTGATTTCGTTTATCTCTCCAGTGGAGTACAACGACCACTACCGTAACCTAGAAATAATGTTTTTTTTCCGTATTTTCTCACTGCTTTTCGTCGAATTTCCGGTTATTTTTTCACTGAAAAACAATCGGGAAGGAACACTTTCTGACATTTTTAACAATTTTTGACAACTTGTGACAATTTTTGACAATTTTTGACAGTTTTTTACTTTTTTTGGCATTTTTTTAGAGAAAATTGGCTGAAAAAAATCGAGAAAATAATCCAGAAAATAACAAATATTTTTAGGTTACGGTAGTTTTCGTTCCAGGAACCTTAAGCCCCGCCCATAACCTTTTCTCCTTCACAACTCCGATTTTTTACCTGAATAATATCACCCTATTTTCAAATAAAACCGTTTTTCAGCATTATCAACACCTTGCATCATATCGTTTTCCTCCAATTCCAACTCGGAGGGAATCTGCTCGAAATGCGAAGAAAACCGTCTCCATTCCATTATTCTTCGTGATGAAAACTCAGCTCTGCGTATCTCTGCTTCTCACACTCTCTCTATTTCCCACAAATGCCAAAAAAGCAAAAACAAAATCATGGTAATAATTCTGGCACAGAATTCAGAGGATACACCAATTCGGGGCTACAAAAAACCTAAATTGAGGATTTTGTACCCCAATGACCCCAAAATTTTTTTACTATCCAAATCATGTCCCATTCTGACAGAATAATTTTAAATCCAAGAAACCTATTAATTCATTTTCAGCAAAAGAACTGCATTCAGTCGACATACAACAAACTATCAAGCATGGAGAGAACAAATGACCGTATGCGATCTTCTTCAAGACTACGATGCCGCAGTTCGACCATCTGGAAGAACACCTTACAATGATACAAGAGGAGCAGTTATTGTTACAACTAGTTTAAATATTCGATCCATATCAGCAGTCTCTGAGAAAAATATGGTATGTTACTGACCGAAACTGAAATTTTAAATAAAAAATTGATCAAAACTTTTCAGGAATTCGTGGCACAATTCAGATTTCGTCAAGAGTGGTATGACGATCGACTCCGATTTATCGAACATCAAGGTCTTCTATCTTCCGACTACCGAAATTTCGAATTCATCCACGTGGCAAGAGACCAATCACTTTGGATACCTGACACATTTTTCCAAAATGAAAAGAACGGATGGTACCATATGTTGAACCAGGAGAATCGATTTTTGAAAATTCGATCCGATGGAAAACTGATTTACGATAGAAGACTGACGCTTCATTTGGCTTGTTCGATGCATCTATCACGTTACCCAATGGATCATCAAAACTGCGAAATCGCTTTTGCCTCGTGTGAGTTTTTGGACTTTATCTAAAATCTTGTGGTGTAGGGATAAATACACCTGCTTTTTAAGATTTATATATTTTTAATTCTAGGAATCTTTTTTATATTTTCAATATTTTTTTAAAGAAAATGTGAAACCGATTTTTCCTAAAATAGTAATGAAGATAGAGTTGGATGATACACTGCTGAACAGAAAAATCTGTGAAAAATCGCTCTGAAAAAGCAGAAATTGCATAAAGTTCAAAAACTTTTTTGGGAATTTCGGTTACAAAATTTCTGAAAATTTTGAATGAAAAAATACGAAATTTGAAATCCCATTAAAATCGAACTTTTTCAGAGATTCTGAATATTTCAAAATTTTGAATTATCAAGAAAATCGAAATTTTCATAGGACATATTTTAATTCAAGTTCGAGAACTATATTTTGAATTAATTCCTGTTATTTCAATTTTACAGATGCCTACACAACAGCGGATATCGAATATATCTGGGATGTTCCTGCTATCCAAATTCACGAAGGAGCAAACGGAGCATTACCAAATTTTGAGATTGCTTCATTCAAAAATGGGTCGTGTACTTCCAAAACGAATACAGGAACGTATTCTTGTCTAAAAGTGGAAATTCGTCTAAATCGAGTGTTTTCCTTTTTCCTCCTCCAACTTTATATTCCATCTTCCATGCTTGTCGGCGTTGCTTGGGTATCGTATTGGATTGACTGGAAATCAACAGCTGCACGTGTTCCATTGGCTATCGTCACACTTTTGACAATGATCACAACTTCTCATGCAATCAATTCAAATTTGCCTCCAGTCAGTTATGCTAAATCTATCGATATTTGGGTTGGAGCATGTGTCGGTAAGAGCTCTTTTCTCTTTTTGTTTCATTCAAAGGTTCAAAACTTCCAGTATTCATTTTCTTCTCATTAATCGAGTACGCCGTTGTCAATTATATGGGAATTTTGGATGAACACAGGTAGAAAAAAGCATCAATTAATTGTAATTGAATGATTTGAAAATTTTTCAGACAAATGAAAAAAGCAGCCTGCAACCGGTCGCGTCTTTCAAATGTAATTGATAATGATAACTTTGGTGAATCGTTGCAATCATTAACTTTCAGTCCACAGGAAAAGAAAGTAAGAACATAAATTCGGAAACTTCAGGATGACTACCGTAGAACCTGTATTAGAAGAGCCGGCCCTTCTATTGTTCCAAGGTACTTTTGGAGGGCCCTTCAATTAGAGAGAGGCCGACCATTTTTTTCTGAAAATTTTAATTTAAACAATCGGTTATTTATCTTTCAAAGTTCATTTAAATCTGTCAATTTCACTAAAATTTCTGGAATAACTTTCACTGAAAACCAACTGAAATTTTTTTATTCAAAACACATTTCGAAGCAGACCCTTCTATTAGAGGGGTCCTTTCATTAAAGGGCCATTCTAATACAGGTTTTACGGTATTAATCTAATTTCAATGTGCGTTAATTCGACGGTGGGCGGAGCTTAGTTCTTGTAGCGAAATCCTTAAAGGCGCATTGAAAGAAGCGTGTGAATTCGTAATTATTTTCTAGCCTACTTTTATTGATTTTTCAGTGAATTTTATCGATTTCGACCCTTTTTTTATGGAAATCCGACAAATCGCAAAAAAAAACGCATAAAAACGATGAAAACTAATGAAAAGTCTATAAAATTTCATCGAAAAATAAAAAAAATAGGTCAGGGAAATATTTCGAAGATATTTACATGCTCCTTTAAATGGGTCTCCGAGGATTTGTAGCTCCGCCCACTCTTGAATTTTCGGCCACAACGCCCATTGAAATCAGACCAGACTCTCAGCAGAGTAATATAAAAATCAATATCTTCAGAGATTGATTCGTCGCCGTCCGAAAAAGAACATGGAAATGCAAGAAGGCGATTTTGAAGCAATCGAAATGGTAGATCGTGGACCGCCTCGAAGTGCAGGACTGATGGAAGAAGGATGGACATTTCATGATACAACTGATCTAGTTTACATTGGACAACGAAAACGGGTCGAACTCGTCCGATGGTGTAGTGTTCTTTCATCAAGAGGACGAGCCGAGAGAATCGATATCATTGCCAGGTAACAGATAAAAAAGAAGCTTTAGTTATTATTCTTTTTCAGAATAATCTTTCCCATAGCATTCATTCTTTTCAACTTTGCATATTGGAGTATCTACCTCGAAGAGGAGGATCTAGACGAGTCATAATCCCAAAAGATGAACAAAGATATAAAACGAAAACTTTGTTTTTGTTGCAACACATTCGATTTGTGATTTTGATTCTTTGAATTTTCTATTTTCTTATGCAATTCCATTTTCGGGTCTCTTGCAATGTGTTGGCGTATTTTATATGAATTTCAATTCTTGAACTGTATTACAACAAGAGGGGCGTCTTTTCCGCTACTCTGAAACTCACGTGAGCGGGCGAATACCGGCTATCGAACATTCGAAAGGCGAACTACGCCTTTTCAAGTCTGAACCATAAAGTGAACAAGTTGAAGAAGAAATTAAATTTGGCACATTTAACTATAATGAAGAAAATTACCTTCATAGTTTCTTTATAGCACATAAAATAAAAGTCGGACCCGAAAGATCAGAAAAAGGCATTTAAATCTAGGTACATACAGACTGGTTAAAACATTCAATCGAGAAATAAAACGAGTTAGTCGATTCCAAATCTACAATTCGACTGGGTGTTGCATAGTGAGCCCTCCGTTTCCACACACTTCCTTTGCCAATGACTCTATCGTGGAAACCTTAGTTCCGGCCTCTCCACTTGCAGCCTCTTTCAAATATCTGTGTGAAGATCTCATCGCCTGAAATTCCGAATTATGTAAAGAAAGAGAAAATATTGAAATTCACCTTCTCAACGTAGTAAGTAGCAATCTTGCGTTCGAAGTCGGCACTAGAAGACTTATTCTTGATGACGTAAGTGGCACGAGAAAGAACTGCTGCTGAACTGTAGATGTCGATGGCGGCGTTGGCTACACGATGCATTTCATATTGACGGTCTAAAATGAATCGCATTGGAAGGGAAAATTTCCTATAAACAATTAATACCAATAATTCCTTTCTTATGCTTCATCAGCAATCCTTGAACAGTTTGTCCGAACAATGCAATTTGTTGATCTAAAGCCTTGGCGGAATCTTGAAGACTGGAATCGACTACTTGCCCGAAGTTGGATCCAGTGTTTCCTCTGAAAATATAATTTTACCAGTTTTATTATACCTATCCGTGATAGGCTTTCACTAACCCAGTCACTCTCGAAACAGCCAAACTGATCATGCCTCCAACTCCAGATGCTTGTTGTGCAAGATGTTTACCAGCATGCTGGGCTCCGGTCAAGGCAATGAAGAGGCGGAGAACATCGTTAGCTCCTTCGAAAATTCGGAAGATACGAAGATCGCGAAGAACTCGTTCGAGGCCTGTTTCGCGCATGAATCCCATTCCTCCGTGAACTTGGATAGCATCATCACACACCAACCAAGCGCTTTCTGATGCTAGAACCTTGCCAATAGCGGCCTCTAGCTGGTACTCCTTGATTCCTCTGTCCATGTTCGACGATAGCATGTAGACGATTGATTCAGTAGCGTAAAGCTTCGAAATCATCTCGACAAGTTTTTCCTGAACATTTCCGAACTCTTCGAGCTTCTTTCCGAATTGAACTCGGGTAGTAATGTGATCAACAGTCTTCTGGATACAATGTTTCATCGCTCCAGTACACGCAGCTGGAATTCCGAATCTTCCGTTGTTCAGAATGTTCATGGCAACTTTGAATCCTTCTCCTTCTTTTCCGAGGAGATTTTCCACTGGAATTTTCACATTGTCGAAGTGAACTTCTGTTGTGTTTGATCCCTTGATTCCCATTTTCTTCTCTTGTGGACCACTGGTAACGCCTCCAAATGCTCGTTCAACGATAAAGGCAGACATTTTATCCTTGGTCGATCCATCAGCTTGTTTGATTGGTGTCTGAAAATTAATTGCGTAACGCTAACAGTGAATTAGGTGCTGTACCTGAGCGAAAACAGTGAAGACATCAGCAAAACCTCCATTAGAGATCCAGATTTTACCGCCATTTAACACATAGTGCTTGCCGTCAGCGGATAGTTCAGCTCGTGTTCTGACCGACTGAAAACATAGACTCTAAAATATGTAAAACTACATGAAGTTTTTTACGCTAGCATCCGATCCAGTAGATGGCTCCGTGAGAGCAAAGGCAGCAAACTTGCGTCCAGTAGCCAAATCTGGCAGATATTTCTGTTTCTGAGCGTCAGTACCCTCTAGAAGAATTCCTTTGTATCCGATAGATTGATGAGCTCCCATGACTACTCCGAATCCAAGATCATATGCTCCAACGATTTCGGCGACTCTTGCCATCTGGGAGTTGTTGAATCCGGATCCTTCGAGCTCTGGTGGGACGAGAACACCAAAAGTTCCAAGCTCGGCAAACTGATCGAGCACAGCTCGAGGGATGTCAGCAGTTCGTCGTTTCTGAAAACATGTATAACTATGATATGATTTCTGGAAAATCGTTCACTTGACTACGTCGTTCACTTCGATGAGCATCTTTTCCAAAGGAGACATCACCATTCCCAGAGTTTCCTTTTGTTCTTCTGTCATATTCAGTGGGTATGGGAACACCTGAAAGATAAATTCAACTGAGAAATAATGTGATTCAAAAAGTACCTGTTCTGTAACAGCTTTTCCTCTGAAAAGATTCATCACGAATGACGGACTGTCAACGGCAGCCAATGGAGCCTTCTTGGGTTTCACATCCTTGGCAGCAGCAGCTGAATGGGAAAGACGGAGGAACCGTGTTTGAGAAACCCGTGCAGTTTTGCTCAACGTCGACAGCATTCTAATCTGAATAATAATCAATGATATAGTTTTGAATCGACCGGAAAATCAGGAAAATCAGGGCGGCGAAGATATAAAATGAGACGAAAACAACTTGGGTGACGAACGGAGAATAGCAAAACGAAGAGACGCAGACACAAGGAAGGGGACAAAGAACGCAGATATTTACGACTGACTGCCGCAATAGATTGGTTGTTTTCAGGAAAAAAAGACAATAAATATTAGCGAAATTTTTTCAGATTATGTAAAAATTATTTTTAAATTGCCGTTCAAATTCCTGAAATATCTGAAGACTCCGATGCAAATTTCGAGAAAATAAAATTTCGTTTTATGCCACCGTAAGAATTCTCAAAGGCGCAGCCATAGAATGCTAATGGTCCTGCAGCGAAGTTAAAAATTTTGGGTTGCGTCTTCGAAATATCTCACGGTTTGGCTACAAAAATCAGAACCGAACTTGAACGCATAATAATGAAACAGGCTTTTCTGGAAATTACTAGGTTTAATCGACGAAAACTGACAACATGACATGAATAATAAAAATAGGTTAACAAGCACCTTCGTTGTCTGGCATACTAACAAATCGCAAGCGCACACAAAGAGGCCACGTGTAGAACGAGTATCGCTATCTCTTGTGGACTTTGACCCCCTTGTACTTTGGACAATCCGGACTACGCACTAAAGACTCAAGGGTACGACGCAACAGGTCTTATCTGTAGCCAGACGCGGAAAAACACTTAAAAAAAATAAATTGAATTCAAATTCAAGGTCTTACCCTATATCAGTGTTTGACAAGTTTCCTTTCTGAAACTAAAACTAAACGACAGACGTTCTCTGCGTACTGGATAAGTGATTTTGGCAAGCTAGGACTCCACATGACATGATGGGATTGAGGATCTAGGTCAGAGATCACGTAGTTATCGCTCGGTTTTCAAAAAATATCTATACTATTTATCTTATCTTAAACGTTCTGAAAGTGCATCTGCAATTTTTTTGAGTCATTTTCTTAAAAACGAATTTGACTTTCTGGCAACTTCTAAATTTCAGCAATAGCTGACTTAATTTTTTTCTAACAATTATTGATTTTCCGCTTCAGATGTAGTGTCCGCACTGTTGTCTTATCAACTACGGGGGTCATCAACAACTCTCTAGACTACACTGTACCGATTTTTATGCCTTCTTAATAGTTGTTGCATTTTTCGTTTCATTTTTCTTTTTCTTCAACAACAATGGATAAAAAAACAGCTTGTGCCCATATTCCCGAGCCTTCTGAATTTGAGTATAATACTAGAGATGCTATTATCTATGCACTTGGAGGTAAACTTTTCAAGTAGTTGATATATATGAAAACTGAAAATTTTAGTTGGAGCCCGTGCTAAAGAAGATTTATGCTATGTTTATGAAAACGCCATGGACTTCAAAGTCCTCCCATCATTTATCGTCGCTCCTGGTTTCCAAGCTCATACTTTGATGGATTGGCCAGGAGTAGAGTTCGATTTGCAAAAGTATTTTTTTACTTGTCAAAACAAATTCGAAAACTATAAAATTTCAGAGTGCTCCATGGAGAGCAATATATCGAAGTATTGCATCCACTTCCAGCTGAAGGAAAATTGAAATCTGAAGCTAGAGTAGTGGATATTCTTGATAAAGGATCAGGAGCTCTAATTCTCGGAAACGTAACAACTTATGACGAAAATGGAAAGAAAGTTGCAGTTCAACAGTTCAGCACCTTCCAAACCGGTTACGGTAACTTTGGAGGAGACCGCACATCTCCACATGAATTCAAGGCAGCTACAGTACCAGATCGTGCTCCAGACGCTGTGATTGAACAGAAAACATCAGTTGATCAGGCGGCTCTTTATCGTCTGGGATCTGGTGACATGAATCCTCTTCATGTGGATCCACAATTTGCTAAAATGTCGGGATTCAAAACTCCAATTCTTCATGGATTGTGCAGTTTAGGATTTTCAACTAGGCACGTCATCGCTGCTTGGGCTGGAAATGATTCAGACAAGTTCAAGGCGATGAAGGTATCGAAAAATATAAAATTTCGAAAATAATATTATTGTATTCAGGTTCGTTTCTCATCTCCAGTGCTACCCGGACAGACGTTGGTAACAGAAACCTGGAAGACTGGAAATCGAATTGTATTCCAAATGAAAGTCAAAGAAACGGGAAAAATTGTCATCTCAAACGCATATGTTGATTTGACCGAAGCATCAGAACTTCCAACCGTTCCAACTGATCTTGCTTCCAAATTGTAATTTATTAAAATCTTTTATTACACAAGTTTGAAAAAAATTTAGATCGTTAAATTCGTGTTTCATGGTTTCCTGAATATATTTTGTGAATAAACCGTTTCGAATAAAAACAATGAGATTTCCTTTTTCTTATTTCTTTCCAAGAATATCATTGACACCTGGGAAGTTGACACCGACTCCTGTATTCACTCCAACACCAGCCATCGGTACTCCAACACCGAAATTCGTTCCAACGTTGCCATTCAGATAGTCAACTCCGACATGTTGATTCTGTTGGTAGTACGGACCAACTCCTCCTCCAACATCTACTCCTATCGGTTTTCCAGCTTCTCCCGGTTTCAAAGGAACGCTTACCTAAAAATAATCACTATGAAGTATTGCTCTGGCCTAAGAATCTCAAAATCTCAGAATTGTAGGATTTCAGAATTTCAGAATTTCAGAATTTCAGAATTTCAGAATTTCAGAATTTCAGAATTTCAGAATTTCAGAATTTCAGAATTTCAGAATTTCAGACTAGGGCTGTTTTTTGGTCATTCTGGTTTATTCTTTACCATTTTAGAATGATCTGAAAAATTTCTGGAATGGTCTAAAAATGACCTAAACTGGCCTGAAAATAGTCATGCATGGCTTAAAAATAGTTTCAAAAATGTTCCTAAATGATCTACATGGTCCTAATTGGCCTGAAGATAGTACAAAATTGTTTAAAATGGTCCAAAACTGTTCAAAAAGTTTTGGTCATTTTTCCTCAAAAAATTGGGGAAAATAGCCCAGAAAGACATGCCTATTTAAATGCTCTTTTAAGGATTTCGCTACTTGATCTAAGCTCCGCCCACCCTCGCTGATTGAAATTGGACCAGACCAGAATGAAACTTTAAAAAACCTACAACTGCATGAGTATCCCCTTCGATTCCCAGTGATTGAACCAATGGAACACTCCATCCAGACTTGTATCCATACTTCCCTTCATACCAATTAGCTCCGATCTCCTGATATTGCGACCAATAATCTCTAACACCAATGTGATCGGAATATCCTCCTCCCCATGATCCAAATGGAATATTCATTTCTCTTCCTGCTCCAATTGCTCCTTCCTCATTTATTGGATAGTATGGAATTCCCTTCACACTCCACGTTCCCAGATTCAGTCCGACATTGGAGTTGAAAGCATAAGCAATGTTATAAAGTGGATCGGATTTTGGAAGGAATCTTTGGCAATCCTAGAAAATTTAAATTAGTTTGAATTTCAAACTTTGGAGAGCAGAATTTGGTCTTTAACTCACATGGAAATATCCCTTACACTTATTTCCATATCTCTCTTCTGTCTTGTTGCCTCCAAAACAATGCTTTCTTACAGTTGGAAGAAACTTATTACAGAGTGCTTCTAGATGCAACGCCTTTCGATGAACATCTATATTTTCTGGACGTGGCTCGACTGCCGATGGTGGTCTACTAACCATCATTCCACGAACATCAGCCGCTTTTGCTTTTTGCTCCAATTGCGATTTATCAGTGATTCCTCCGAATGGGGAACTAAATTTTTAAGGTTCAGATGTAATTTTCTATTAGTACCATATCAAACCTTGGTCTATGAGAAACTTCACTTCCATCAATATCAGCTCTATCTACTCCCAAAGCAGAGCTTCTTAATCCGAATTCTTCCATGTTTTGAGCGAATCGCTGCTTCTCTTTTTCTTGTTGAGCCAACAATTGGTTGTAGCTAAATAGCTCAATAGGTTTTCTTCTTTCAGAATCCTTCCAAATCCACCTACCGACTGACATGTGTATTGATTGCATACTGTTTCATCCTATCAAAATAGTCCTGATAGTACTGATCATAGGCTGCCTGGCGAGCTCTGTTGGCTTCTTTCCTTTGTTGTCTCCAATCCTCCATTTGTTTCTCGTATGCATCGTCATAACTTGGTTGACGATGCCTAAAAATCTTGTATTTAAAAATCAGATTATTTCAATAAATCTAAACTACTGTAAAACCTGTAATAGAAGGGCCCCACACTGAAAAGTTGAGCTCTATTATCTCGGTTCGTATGAGAGATATCAAAAATGTGTCAACTGCTAAAATGTTTGGGATATTATGATAAACAATTTATCAGTTGACAAACGTTTTATATGTCTCACAGAAACCAACTTATATTGGCTCAAAGTTGAAAGTTAGAGGACCATTCTATCACAGATTTTACGTTACCTATGTCTTCTTCTTGGTTTTTGAGTGCTCTGTTCGACTGGCGCCTTGGCAAAGTCACTTGGAGAATGATTATAAGAAGGTCTTCTAGCTGATGCGTCTCTGAACAAAAGGTACATTTTCACCCCTTGTTCAACATCACATACTTGGCAATCGGAATTGGTTCATCTCCATTTTGGGGCCTTGCCTCAATCCTCCATAATAATATTAGGAAGGAAAATATAATCAAAATTTGACGAAACATCGTCAAGGGAAGATGTTGAAATGTTGATGATTTTTAAACTGTTAAAAGTTAACAGAAATCAACACGATGATGATTACTGCAGGTTTTCTCCTCTCGTCGTCTTGAATAGGCCGCCCGTATGACCTTGCAGTGAAGACTGACCGGTAGAAAATAAATGGAATTTTGTAGTTTGTATAGTCTTTCATTGTCTAAGCTTGACGAAGAATATGTGTGGTTTGTGATTAAATGGGATGATAGAAATGATCATGTTGAACTGGGTACATGGGAAATTAGGGTTTTAGCGATAAGTGAGGGAAGGTGACTTGAACTTCCAATAACCCGATCAATAATTTGTCTGAAAATTTCAAAACGATTCCTCAAGTCTAGGTATTGTTACGATTGTCCAAAGATGAACGGTGTAATGTTTTATGAGATGAAGCAACTTTGACAAGCGATAACTAAGCTTAAAGTTGATCAAATAGTTTGAAACTTGGTCAGTATACTGATGAATTATATAAATTTTTTCACTAAAATTTTGAGCTCAATACAGCGCTTTAATCCGTTTTTATGGTAGCACAAACTGTTGAGCGGGTAATTATGCTACACCCTGTATAACGGTTTACCGAAGAGAACGGTTCAAATGACACAAATTTCAAATAAATGTTCAAGGTTTTCCACATAAAAATTATCAATTTCCCATCCTTATATGGTTATACGATATTACTTCTCGGCTGAAGCCATTCAAAAATGAAAAAAAAAACAAATCAAAGCAGGAGGAACTGAACCAGCATGTGTCGCTTGTTGGTCTACCTTGCTAGCCACTCGGCTACCGACGCATGTTTACCTCACGTGCGCAACAGTGTTAACAAATTGAAAAGAAAGGAATTGAATTGAATGTTGTAAATCCCATATTCTTTATTTTTGTCAGGTCGATTTTTCTCAAATTTCAGCGAGTGTTGCACTATTATTACGTATTGAAAAGCCCATATTCAATTCTATTAATGAGCGAATTTGAAGAAATTTTTGAATAGCTTCGGCCAACCTTCACCCAAAAGACGTCTGCACAACAACCGCAGCCGCAGCCTCTGTCTATTGTGGGCGGAGTCTCCTCACACACAAAGTATAGAGGGCGGCGGAACCCGGGAAATGTCGGCCGCAGCGAAAGGGGTTGCTATATAAACGTGCGAGAGAGAGGAAGGCAGTTGCATGACGGCAAGGCGAGTACTCGCAGATACGAAACGTTCCCCGTTGAGCGCGCTAACTGTGAGCGAAAGTCCCTGGACCACCGGCAGAAAGTGTCACCCTCTAGGTTGGGTACTCTTTGGAGTTTTAGTCATAGCACAGAGACGCTCCTTAGAACAGCATAGGGCCTACTCTGTTCGTCATGTTTTTGCAATTCGTGAAGGACAACCGGAAGGCACAGCTCACTCGTCCATGAAATGCTTCGTTTCCTTGGAGAGTCAATTCACACTTTTACACACGACATGTCTCCTGAATTTCTTCAGTGTGTATATTCCGCTCCACGCAAGGCTTCTCTAAAATTCTGTCATCGTCTTAATCTTCATATTTTCTGGAATGGCAAAAATCCATCGAGAATGCCGAGAGAAGTCTTTGCCAGCTATCAGATTAACGTTAGCTGCTTATCTGTCATTAGAAGAATTTTGAATCTCCTTTTTTCTAGGAAGCCCATCGATTATTTTTCGGATATCTCCGACTGGACAACGTCTAAAAGGTATTACGTCAAGAATCGAGATATCGTCAAGGAAAATATTCGAACTATAAAATCCAGTCTCCCTCGAGTTCCGGCAGTTCGGAAGGTTTATTCAACTGCTGTAGAAATTCATTTCTAGCATACATTTTTAGGTTCCTCCCTTTTCCTGGCAATCAGTTCAACAGAATACAAGCGTTGTTCCATTACCAATGATTACTCCAAGCCGATCCAGGAGCGTCGACTCAAATGTAACTTCTTTTTTTTTAAATCTCCTATTTCATATTTTTCTGATTCCAGGTAGCTGATGATTGCAGTCAGTTCCGTGCGCTTTTCTCTCGTGGAGATCTCCATGTGAGAATTGTCCATTCTGGAGGACCTGGAGAAAAGTAGTTTCTTTTATTTGAAAATCTAAAGATAAACAAAAAAACTGAATTTCAGACCAAGAGAGCTGCGATGGGCAAAGGATCCATCCCAGATGAAGAACGAAACCGTTTGCAATTTACTCGCAAAGTTCGCTACTGGAATGTCTTTGTTAGATCATGTTAGTTTTTTATTCAAATGTAGCACTTATCTGAGATCTTCAGCCATATCGATTCGTGGCTGAAACTGGGATCACCGATCTTCTGATTGCTCTTCGTAATCATCAAAGTATCGTTATCGTATTACCACAACTCGTTCGAGGAATTCGATCCGGTCTCTATTCTTTTGACGTCGAGAAAAAGAAATTTTGCCTGAAAACTCTGTCAAGAATCACTTCAATGCAAGGAATTGGAGCTCAACTGGTTCCGTTTTATCGACAACTCCTCCCCCCACTCAGTATGTTTATTTTTGATTAAGGTCACCCACAGTAAAACCTCTAATAGAGGGGCCCCTCAACTCACAATTTGAGCTCATTTATCTCGGTTCCAGCAAAAGATATCAAAATGTAGTCAACTGATAAAGTATTTGTCATAAAAACACTAGTATTTTATCAGTTGATACATTTTTGATAGCGTTTAGAAGAACTGAGGTAATAGAGCTCAAAGTAAAAAGTTAGGGTCCCTTCTTTTACAGGTTTTACTGTAAATTCACCCATCGTAAAGCCTGTAATAGAAGGTCCCTCTAACTTTCAACTTTGAACCATTTTTCTCGGTTTATGTCAAAGATATAAAAATGTCGTCAACTGATAAATTGTTTATCATAATATCAAGAGTATTTTGTCAGTTTATCACTTTTTGATATCTCTCACAGAAACCGAGATAAATCAGTTTACGTTTGATAGTGGTTTCATTTTTTCAGGAACGGTTCGTCAATCTCGAAGTAGATCAGATCGTGTTCATTATGACAAAGGAAGACAAATTGAGGAAATTATTACATCAACTTTGAACGATTTGGAGAGAACGGGCGGTCCAAATGCGCTGATCAACATCAAATATCTCATTCCTCACTATGAATCATGTCAGTATGTTTGAAAGGCATTTTCGAATAAAATATTTGTTTATATTGGAGCAATACTAGAAGTGTGAGCAATAACAACAACATCTCTTGATGTTTTGTTTCGAAGGATAGTTTCAATAATAGTATGTCGAAAAGGGATAATAAAGTAAAATGAAATCAAGGGATCTACAAGACCTGGCAATGCATTTGTAGCCAATGTTAAATGTTCTGAAAGTCGGTAATAATCACAGGAAATGAATAATAATACCAACCTGATATTAAAACTTCTTGACCTGTTGCTTGAGTGTAAATATAACTGGAAACCATCGGAACATACGATATAACTGGTAATGTAGATTGTACTAATAGTCCATGAATTAATTTTCTAGCTTGTAATTTAGTTTTATTCGCCATATTTTGATGCTTTTTGACAAGTCTAAGCCCTTTGGTAGTTAGAATTAAACACCCTAAAGGGATCCCATATCCTGCGATGCTAATTAAAATTGTTGCTGAAATAAATTCGAAACTTTTGAGATCCGAAAATCCGGGAAACGGGAAATAGTTGGTTAGGTTGTATGTCGGGTGATCAAGAATAGTAGCATGTTGAACTGATTGGAAATCCCAGGGTGCTAGAAATGGGATAACCTGGAAATATACATTTTTAGAAGGAGTTTTAGTATTTAGAGAATACCAGAACGTATAAAGGAACAAAGTACGATAATGCGATGAGCATGAGGCTTTGTTTTCTAGTTACACCATTCATAGTCAGTGACAGACAACGAAAAATTACTGTTATCAAAATAGCCAAACCAGCAGCCACTCCGAAAGCCTAAAACATACGGTACCGGTGAATAAAATATATAAAACAAACACTTTTCAGTTGATTCTCGGTATTTTTAGGAGTCTGGGGCTCGGCTATGAAGTTTCCGGTCAATTTGAATTTTTTGGTGGGTGTAAAATAGACCTAGATTGAAAAATTTGCATTCACAGATTTTTCCAAAAATTCATAGTTTTTCAGCTGTTTGCCGATTTCCGGAAGACGCTTGTTATTTTTACGTTTTCAGTACAAAAAACCGGCAAAAAGGGGTGTCTTCAGAAATCACCAAATAGCTGAAAAACTATGAATTTTTCAAAAATTCTGTGAAAGAAATATTTTCAATCTAGGTATGTTTTACACCCTCCATAATTTTCGAAGTTATCGGAAACTTGAATGGTCGAAATGACCGAAAATCTACTGAAAAATACGTTTTTTATATCTTTTTGACCGGTACTGTAACTCTCAAAAGTAAAAAAAAACGTACCATCGCAAAATGATAACTCGCAAAACAGACATTTGGTCCAAAGTACTTGCAAGGTCCCGCGGGAAGAATAGCCAATGTTGTTTTGTTTGCCAATAATCGATGTTGGATAGAAAACGAAAACAACACTAGAGCTAATTGAATACATGCTGTGTTAATCAAATAAAATTTCAGATTTCTAAGATATACAGGAAGTTTATATAGTATCAAAAAAACTAAAATAACTTGAAAAGTGAATCCAAAGACACCATATAGAATCCAGAAGACGTTGAAAATCGGCACATAACAATCGGAAGACGTGCACATTTTGAAAGCACAACTTCTGGCAAAGGGAGAAGTGTATTGACAACATAACTAAATATTATAATCACATTTATTGAAATACTATTATTAACATGAACACTTTTATTATTGGTTTCCGTGTATTCAGTATGATGATAAATTGATCAAATAGGGTTCAGGTTTTCAACTGATCTCTAGGATTCCGATGGTCTTAAATTAATTAAGATCCACTTTTCTGATTATGTAGTCTGCCTTTGTTAAACTCCAACTGAAAAGTATTATTGCATTTTGAATTAAAAATGTTTTCAAGTCTATGTTTTTTCCTAGCACAAAATTTGCTTCAAAAAGTTCCGAAGAGGGACGATGATTTCAGTTCCCGCGCAGTGAGAAATCTAGGCGGCAGTTTAAAAAAGGCGGTCGGCAGCCATGGCCTAGCTTTTTCACTTCGCGGAAACACAAATCCTCGTCCTTCTTCGCAATCCTTTTTGATTTTCAACAGAGTTTTTCTGAGTATTTAAAATGTTTTCTTAACCTTTTCGAACTTTGAGAACATTTTATTGCAAAAGATAACAGAAAAGTTTTTAACCCTTCAAAGACAATAATTATGCATTATGGTTACTTCTTGTGTGCAAAAATTCTTCATGAGATAGTTTTGAGAACATAGTACAAAAAACAATGAGACAGGTTCCCAAGATTATAGAAAATAAGTGTGGGAAATCAATTATATCCAGATGTCGAGTTGCTGATAACGGTAGTGATCCGAGATTGGCGTTTTGGAAGAACAAACTCCAAAACTGCTTGACGGTATGGAACGATAAAATAACATGAAATAAATGGATCCACTAGTCCTGGGAATGCAGAGGAAGCCAGTATAAGGTGCTCTACAGAAAATAATTTTACAAATAGTCTTTAAGAAATCAGACTTACCACAGAGCAAAAGTTCGCGTCCCGTAGATTGACTGAAAACATAGCCAGTAAATGATGGAATGTAGCAGAAAAATGGTAGCATGGATTGAACAATAAGCCCATGGATAAGAGTTTGTGCCTGCTTTTTAGTTCTATCAGACATGTGACTGTGAAAGCGAATTAGAACAAGAACTTTTCTAGTTAAAAGTAAACACCCGAGAGGAATCCCGTATGCTCCAATTGACAAAAGAAAAGTTGCAGATAGGAATTGGGGACTTCCAATATTATAAAAACCAGTAAATGGGGTGTAAATTGAGAGGTTGTATGTTGGATGTTCAATTGATGTCACTTTTTGAACTGCTTCGAAATCCCATGTGTCCGTAAATGGTATTATCTGATAATACAAATGAAAGGAACCTTATTTGAACTATATTATCACTCACCAAAAGAGCCAACGGTGCGATGTAGGATGCAAAAACCATGAAATAAGTTTGATGAGCAGTGACCTGATTTTGCACAAGAACAAGAAAACGGAACAGAACAGTTATGGCAATAGCAGATCCAGCCGCCATACTTGTGGCCTGAAGTTGCAGTTATGAAATACCGTAAAACCTGTAATAGGAGGGCCTCTTAACTTTTAACTTTATCTCAGTTGCTGTTGAAGATATGGAAAAGTTTTTCACTGATAAACTTTATATCATAATATCACAAACATTTTATCAGTTGTCACATTTTTAATATCTCTTGTAGGAAGCGAGATAATTGAGCTGAAACAGACAGTGTGGGGCCCTTCTATTACAAGTTTTACGGTAACATTATTATTTAAAGGGAGGGGGGAGCATGAAAAAAAAATTTCTCAAAACTCTGTTCATCTGAGCCCGCAGAGGAGTATGGGCTCAAGGCTGGAGGTGCCGCGCCGCTACCCGCTGAGCTACGGGGGCGCAATCTGAGGTGGCCGGCACGATAGCAATTCTCTGTGTGAACACTAAACACGTACACCGTCATGTCAGAATTCATATCCTAACTCTAAAAAAATCTCCGAAAAAATCACCTGTATCCCCTCCTTTAGTAAAAACATACCATGAAAATGTGATAATTGATAAAACACATTCTAGGACTGATATAACTGCACGGACCAATAGTCAGAACAGCCGCACTATTGGTATTTGAGAGTAATCTGTGTTGTGATGTGACTGCAGTTGCTACCAAAATGATTTGAATAAACGAAGTGTTGTACAAAAAACATTTGAGATTGTCTAGAGTTGCTGGGGATCGATAATAGATCAAATACAATAGAATCAATTGGAAAGTGATAGCGGATATCCCGCAAAACGGCCAATAATAACTGAAAAACGGAACGTAACAGTTAGAGTTGGAGCACATTTCGCTTTAGGGGGACGAATGAATGAGTTTTCCTCAATTTTTATTCTTTTCTTTTTGGTTTTCAGATTCTCATGACATTTCGAAAAATTCATGCTTTAGTTACGCAAAAGACTGGAAAGAGTCTCTTTTGAGTTTTGATGCTGATTTTCTTTTTGAGATGACAAAGAACATTAAAGATTAGATTTATTAACGAGTTTGTGCTGAATTCAAGCGAATGAAGGCATCTTCAAGAGTTGCTTGCGAGAGCATGAAGTCTTCCACCTGAAAATCAAATCAGAATATAAAAACATTGATAATAGAAAGACCTCAAGACTTGCTGCCAGCTCTTCAACCTGTTTTAACGTTTCCGACCATTTCGAACCTTTTGGTTTCGGGAGCTGGAAATAAGACATTAAAAATAAAACGCATGTAAAATCATATTTTCTCGTATTTTCGGCCATTTTGACCATTTTCAGAAGTCTGGAGCTCGACTGTCAAGTTCCCGATCACTTTGAAAACTTTGGAGATTGTAGAACAGACCAAGATTGATAACTCTGCATTCAACGAATTTTTTGAAAATTCCTAGTTTTTCAGCTATTTTCCTATTTCTAAGGAACACCTACTTTTTCACGTTTTCATTATCAAAACAAGAAAATTAGGATTGTTATTCAGAAACCTGGAAACACCGTAAAACCTGTATTAGAAGGGCTGACCCTTCTTTTGCTCCAAGATATCTCCGGAGTGCCCTTCTATTACTGGAGCCCTTCAATTATAGGGGCTTTTCTATTAAAGGGGCCCTTCTAATACAGTTTTTTTGGGAATTTTCGAAAAGTTCTTTAAATGCAAAGTTTTCAATCTAGGTCTGTTTTACAACCTCTAAAAATTTCAAAATTATGGTAACTTGATAGCCGAGCTCTATACTCCGGTAAATGGCCAAAATTTCCGAAAATGAACTGGAAACTGTGTTTTTTAAATATCTTTTTGGTGCATACTTGGTAGACAATATTCAAGTTTGCTTGGGATGGTTCCACTTTTAGAACTGCTTCCGGCCAATTCACAGCCACTGATCCCATCACACTTGCAGATTGCTCCAAGCTTTGTAGAACCATTGTCATCAAATAGAAATTTCCAAATCTGAATTTTTAATTTTTAAAATTCTCTGAATTTCCCCATTTCCCACCTGGATTTTAATTCTTGACTGCTGCCAACTGCAATCATATCTCCTTCACGGAGTATTCCAATACGAGTACAAAGTGCTTCACACTCATCCATCGAATGCGATGTCAAAACGATCGAACTGTTTCCCTTCTCTCGCATATTGTGTAGAATATCCCAAATTTCTCTTCTCGCTCTTGGATCTATTCCAGCTGTTGGTTCATCTAACATGACACAGGGAGAACGAGACATTAGTGCGATTCCCACCGAGATTTTTCGTTTTTGTCCACCACTGAAATTATAGGGAAGCTTTAGCTAGCTTAAGCTACAAAAAGATGAGTACCTGCAATGTTGAATTTTCTTATCCGCATGATCAGTCATTCCAATACAGATTAGAACCATTTCGATCACATCTTCACAGTTTGAATAACCTTGGAGTTGAGCAATGATCCGAAGGCACTGTCTTCCAGAAAACTGACCCAATAAAGTGTCAAACTGGGGACAGTAACCGATTTGCTGAAAAGTTAGAACAGTCAGATCAACGATCAATAATTATAGACTCAACTATTCTACTGGTTATATTTTCTCCTGCAATGCTTGCTGTTCCTCCAGATGGAATTGAGATACCTGTTAGCATATCAAAAGAGGTCGTCTTTCCTGCTCCATTCTGTCCTAGCAGACCGAAACATTCCTTCTCTTTTACAGTAACCGTCAGCCCATTCACTGCGCGCAGATCTCCGAAATCTTTCACAAGTTGCTGAAATGCGAACTACCGTAGTGATCAAATATTTTTTTGCAACTTGTATTCTCAATTTTCGTCCGTTTGCAGGCATGTTTTTTAGATTAATAAAATTTTTATTTTCGACTTGTTTGGTGGGTTTCCATACAAAATTTGTCGAAAAGCAATAGTAATCAAGAAATAATTATCGAAAACTTTCAGGCCACTCATTTTGTCTTTTTCTTCCTCAGCTCCAATTTGTTTGTACCATAATAATAACTTCAGTCATAATTGCATAACTCACATCTGTCACAACAACTGGTTTCCCATGTTGAACTGAACTTTCCGACCCGGTAGCAATGGTTGTTCCAGGTGTACTTCGAGTTGTTCCAGTGGGCACCATTGGTGATTTTTCTCCACGAGTTGTAGATGTTTCATCAATGATCGCATACCGCTTTTTCTCTCGTGGTTTTTTGTTTTTGTATCCACCCAAAAGTCGTTTGAAGACTCGAGATCGGAAAGCAACGAAAAACCAGAAGAATAGAACGGAAAGAAGAATAAAGTAGCAATAATCAACCCCTGGAATTTGATTTCGAGTTCGACTTGGAATTGATACGAGGACTCACAAATTGCTGGAAACTCATAAACTGAGTCGAATCCAAAAATGAGTGGTCTGGCTGTGGAGAACGCCTTCTGCAGAATCTTTTGACACATGTGCAGTTTTGTTAGGGAATACATCAAAATTAGTCCAGCATCAACAAGTCCGAATGCGTACTAAAACAGTGTTTTAATTGGAGGTAAATCGAAAAAAAAAACAGTTTACCCATTGTCTGATCAGCAAGTTATCTTTGTTTATGAGCAAATACCACGCATAAACCAACATGCCGGTGGCTGCAGCTGTGAGCTTGAAAAATATCAGGAATGTCGATCCAACTGTTGGTGTTTTGATGAAAACAGACACAAGATAGACGAAAGAAATGATCGGGAAGAAGAATAACAGCACGCTGCCGTAGACCCTGAGATTATGAGTTTGAGAAGATGTTTACTGTATCACATATAACATTTAAATGACCTAGAAATGGCTCGATATTTACCAGTTCTGTTTTCTTGGCCATTTCAACATGGTGGCCTAACTTTCACAAGATAAGTTTTCTTGGCCACTATGGTAAATGACCTAGGAATGGCTTGATAGTCCCCTGGAATGGTTCTAAGTCATTAGAACACGGTGACCTAACTTTCCCGAATTGAGTTTTCTAGGCCACTCTTGTAAATAGCCTAGAAATGGCTTGATATTGCTCTGGTATGTTTACCACTCGGCTGTCGGCTTGCAACTTCTGGCCGGAAGTTGAGGGGGTTCGGCTTTTGGACGGATCTCGGTCAGCTTTTGGTCAGAAGCTGCCCACCGCAGCAATGGGACGGACAATGAACGGAATTTGAAGGCGATGCGTGTTATGCGGCGCGTGCTTCAATCATTTTAAATTTGTTTTCTAAACTATTTTTCTTGTCGTTTCCCTAAAAACTTTGTTTTAAAATTGCATCCTTTCCATTTATGGAGCATTTTTTTCAGACAAGTACTTTGGAGACAATAACAGACGATGTTCTCGAAAAAAAAGAGTACGAAACTCATCAGATAATTTATTCTTTGAATTCTTGTCATAATTTAAATTTTTCAGATAAATAAAATTCAAGTCAACGTTTTTAATGTCAAGTGCTTGGGAGATATCGCAATTAGAAGGTAATTTTTGTTGAAAAAAAACTGTATTTTTGGAAGTTTTGTTTCCAGGAATCAAAAAAAAAACAACTGGATGCTAGAAAATTCGAAGAAAGGCAAGAAAGTTAATCAGGTAAATTCCTATTTTCTGAATTAATAACTAATTTTATTCACATTTCAGGCAGAGCCTCTTCTCCCGTATTCGTCACGATTCACAGCGACATCTTCAAAATTTAAAAATCTAAATCATGATTTTCTTATTTTCTGTATGTTTTCCCTAATTTTGTTCATTTTCATGTATAACTCTTTTTTTAATAAATAAAATTCTACATAATGCGCTGTTTCTCTATATAAACATCAAACAACGCGAACCGAACCGGCCCCTGCTGTTAGGAGGTCGGAAGGAGTAGTTTGTCGGATCTTGGTCGGCTTCCCACAATTTCTTCGCCGGAATCTGACCAAGTTCCGTCCTGAAGCCGACCAGCCTCCGGCCAGAAGTTGCCGGCGACGCCCGAGTAGGTCAGTTGAACATGGTGGCCTAGTTTAGTTTTCTAGTTTAGTTTTCCAGGCCACCATGGTAAATGACCTAGAATGGCGTCATATTCTTCAGGTATGTTTTTAAGGTTATTTTAACAAGTTTCCTAGGGCAACATCTTTCATAGTTCGAAAAATGTCTAGGTCATTTTAAAATAGTGGCCTAGTTTTTGAAAGTTAAGTTTTCTAGGCCTCCAACTTTTATGGCAAACTTACAAATGATAATAGTCCTCGAAAGTACCATAAACATGGAATAGAATATAGGCATAAACCGCAACAATAAAATAGAGACAGAAATCCCAAAAGACGCTTCCGATCCAGAAAATGGGTGGAGAAATTCCAGTGAGCATTTGCTAAAAAACAATTTGATACAACTAAAACGTAGTAATTCATTTACCTGATGTTGGAATCGAGTTGTTCTCTCCTCAATCAAGAAAAGAATGGCTGGAATCAAAACCAACGACAGGAAAATGGAGAGAGCTTAAAATTGCACAGAAGTAATAAAAGAAAGTGCGATTGACTGAAATTTAGATTATCGAAACACTGCTAAAATATTTAATTACCATCTCAGCATGTTTTACTGGCACGAACTCTACGTACAACTCATTCGTTCCAACAGGACTTGACGAATTGAGTCGAAGATATTTAAGGTTCGAGAGCAAGTTCAGCGCAATCGGAAGACAAGATGACGTTTGTTCGTAATAGTGTAATATGGTCTTATGCTCATAAACTGAGATGACAAGTCCTATTTTCTTATCACTGACAGTCTGATTCTTGACAAGGGCTGGAATTTTCTTTTTCATCGGGACTTCAGAAACCTGAAAACAACATTTTTAAGTTCATACTTTTTGATTCTTGAGTTGTCTACCTCTAGATTTTTGAAATGCTTCAAATAATTAAATATCCTCTGATCCGAATTTTTCTCAAATTGAAGAATCACTTTGGACGGGGGGAAGCCAGATAAATTGAAGTTGTGTATGAGGGCAGTCGGGTCAGCAGGCACACTAATTGCACTCTTTTTAAAAACCAAATACAAGAAAATCGTTAGAATAAAGAACTGCATGATAAGTTGGCTGGGATTTTTGAGAAGATGAACGAAGCGTTTGTAGAGAATCGTTTTGAGTTGACAGGAAATCAATGATTGGCCTTCGAGTGGTGGTTCTGACAATTTCTAAGATAGATGACTTTTAACGACATACTCGGGTTCAAACCTTTCTTGGCTTCCGCCAAAGCATTGAAGTTTTTCTCAGCTCTCGCCCTTCTTTCATCATCATCTATCCCGTATAAAACTCTATCGCACTCCCTTTCGACTTTGATGAAAACTTGTTCCAAGGAGCTCACTGAAATCCCCATTGCAACAATTTTCAGCTTTTTGACTTGTTCCATCAAGTGACTCGATAGATATCTCAAGTCTTCAGAATCGTACTGTTTATCGATTATTGCTTCTAAAGCCTTAAAGAGACTTAGGAATCGATCCTTCTGGTTTTCTGGGAGACTGATCTCAATCATTTGACCTCGTTGATCTTTCTAAAATAGAATTTGTTTTTTCAAACTTTATCGCAAGCTCTTACAAGTTTGGCATCATTGACATATGCTGTGCATAATTGATCCACTACTGCAATTGGCTCTTCAATGTTATCATCAGAATCCAAGACCAGTGTCATTACATATCCATCGCCATATTTCTTTTTTAAGAATGGGAGTGATCCAGATGCAGCCATTTTTCCATGTGACATCACGAACACCCAGTCTCCAAGTTTTTCAGCTTCATCCATGTAATGAGTTGTTAGAAGAATTGTTCTTTCCTCTTTGACTTTATTCAGAATCTTTTGGACATCAAGACGAGCTCCAGGATCCATTCCAGCAGTTGGTTCATCAAGAAGAACAACTCGACTTCCACCAATCATTGCCATACAAACTGATAGTTTTCGTTTCATTCCTCCAGACAGATTCTTCGCCATAACGTTTCTCTTGTCTTCCAAAACGATCTGTCTCAACAGGGTTGCAGCATCATTTTCAAAGTCATCCGAACTTTTTCCTTTCAATGTGTTCACCAATTCGAGATGTTCCATAACTGTCAATTTATCATAAAGTGGATTGTATTGAGGACAGTATCCAACTGATTGTCTTGCGACGTTTCGATTTTCAACTGCATCTACTTCTTCGATTGTGATGGTTCCTAAAAAATATTAGAATCAGGCGTTCATCTCTGAAAGTGAACCAACCGCTGGTGGGTTGTAGATTTCCTGTGATCATTCCAAATGTTGTACTCTTTCCACACCCATTATGCCCAAGAAGAACGGACACTTGACCTCTGATTGCTCTCATGGATAGACCATTCACAGCAGTTTCACCGTTTTCATAAATCTAAAAATCGATTTCCCAACGATATAATTCTAAATTTTACCTTTATAAGACCACTTAGTTCTATGTCGGACACTGCATCCTTCCTTCCTTTGACGACTTCTTCTCCGAGAAGAATACCTTCCGCATTACTCAAGTCAGATGAAGAATTGGTCTTCTCCTCTTCATCCACGTGTTTCATCTATAAATACTTATCGATACTTATTCTAGAACTACCGTAAAACCTGTAATAGAAGGGCCCTCAAACGTTTAACTTCAAGCCAATTTATCTCGGATCTTGTTGAAGATATAAAAAAGTTGTTAACTGATAAAATGTTTGTGATATTATAGTTAACATTTACCTGTTGACAACTGTTTTATATCTTTGAGAGGAACCGAGATAAGTTGGCTTAAAGGGGCCCTTCTATCCCAGGTCTTACGGTAATCAAACTAACCTTTTTCCAAAACAGTGTAACCAAATAGTTGGATGTTTTATCTACAAGTCTAGATGCAAAAACGCTTCCAACTGACATCACAACTGCATCGAAAATCATGACCAACAGATATACAAGACATGAATAATATTCTTCACGTATACTTTCGAATCCATCTGTGAACGACATTCCGCCATCTGTAACTTCTGATTAAAAACACATTAATTTAGCCACTAAACTGAAACCTTTCACAAAATGTGGTTCCATAGCAAGAATGTAGCATTTGAGTGCTTTGTTGATGTTCAAAGAAGCTGGAATTGTTTCCCATCCAACTGGATGGAAGGAGAAAGTGGAGAAGTAAATTGATGCCAGCCAAATCGCAGTGATTGCTTCTACTGCTCTCCTAGGTTTGGCGAAAAACGCAGAGACGAACATGGCAAAGGAAATCGATGCGACAATGTAGACGAAGACACCGAACACAATCCAGAAGACATTGAATCTCTGGTAAAGAAATATAGAAAAAAGAAGAAGAAAAGAATCTAGTGATACCGTAATCAAAATACAGTAGACAACGATGGCCAACAAAATGAGAATTGTTGACTTCAGAGTGGCAAATATGAAATGTTCTGCGTAGAACAATGTTCGAGACAGACCGATGGAGTTTAGGTATGGCTTAAACATATATATTTTTAACTCACATAAAAACATCGCCAAACCTGGATAGTTGCTCTCTCCACAGTCATTGTTCTAACCGTATTGATAACAGGAAGTGTGATACAAAAACCAATCAAAAGTGAGACGTACGAAAAGAAGGAAATGGTTCCTTCATTTTCAGAGTAAATGTAGATGGTCTTCAATCTGTCCTTGTCTGGTTTCGCTTGATATCCAGCTGCTTTTGTATCTTTTTGGAACTTGATATTCATCGTTTTGTAGAGATATGGAACGTAGTAGGAATAGAAGGAAACCGTGTCGTCGTCGGGTCTGAAACATATTTCTCATGAAATTATATAACCCAGTTAAAGCTGGAGTTACTTTGGCTCAATGGGCTTTTTCAGAGCATTGATGTCTTTATTGGTCGCTGGCACAATCATATCGACTCCATCGGAAGTTACGAAAACTCCTCCGACACTTTAATTTTTAGTTTAAAAAAAAAACAATGTTTTGGGTTTAGAACATACGGTTTACAAGACTTTGCATGTGCCATTACTATTTTTGCGAAGCGTTTTTTGTCCGGCTTTGAATGGTTCCCAACATACTTTTCACTGAAAAAAGTTGCATATTTTCCTAATATCATTCCGACATTTTTTAAATCTAAAATCCCCAAAAAACTTCGCTGAAAAAGGTGGCGAATAGGGAGGAGGATTTGAATTCCCGTGCAGTGAAAAGTCTAGGGAAAGGTTTGAAAAGTTATGTATTTTCTTAATATCATTGTGGGATATTTTTTAAAATCGAAATTCCCAAAAAAAATGCCGATGAAGGTGAAAGTTTAGCTTTAAAAAAGTGGCGAATAGGGACGAGGATTTGAATTCCCGCGCAGTGAGAAATCTAGGACATGGTCATGTAAAAAAGGCGTCCTGTCGCCGTTGCCTAGGTTTCTCACTGGGCTGGAATTCAAATCCGCGTTCCTATTACCACTTTTTTAAATTTTCAACGACGTTTTTTGGGGATTCCGTTTTTTTAAAGAATTTTTTCGCGATAATATTAGGAAAACACATAACTTCAAAAAATTTAATGCAATACAAATTTTTGTCGGTGTCCCCCTTATCTATAATAGATTTTTCCTGACTCACTAGATCCTTAGATCCTAACATCCACATCAGGAGGTACATCACATCCGTCCACAGCTAGCTCAATATCTGGAACCACGTCTTCTAAATCAACTTCATTGATAGATCCTGATAACGCTCTCAGCGAGTTTCTCTCCTCTTGCAAAGTTTTGTAGGTCACGAGATAACTCTGAAAACTTCTAATTTTGTGTTTTTAGTTGACCTGCTAAACCTCGTCCAGGAAAGCCAGTGGTAGTAGAAGAATCATAACAGGTATGAGCACTTCGAACGTCGTCCATACCTTGTTCCGTCGGACAAGAATGACATCTTTCTTCAACAGAGAAAGCAATTTTTTCATTTTGTTTCTTTGGTGAGAGATACTGATTTGGATTTTCCTGAAATCTGGTGTCTTGTCTGAAACCGGAACGAACAGGTCAGTTCAGAGCAGTCAGAGGCCAGGTCAAAAGTGATGAAAAGGTTTTTATGTTGAATGAGCACGTCCAAGTGAATCGGCGTGAACTCGTGGATGTCTGAAAATTATAGATCCCCATTTTCGATTCTCTGTGCCACCTCATGACCTGACTCTATCAGGCTGATTGTATTTATTTTGTTTTGAATTTTGCAACTTCCGTTTCTGTTGTTCAAATCACAAAACTGACTACAGTTCTGCGTTTACTCCCTACACATACTAACTCCCTTTTCCTCTTCTTCCTGCGTATCTTAATGTTTCTTCTTCTCAAAATAAAAACCGATATGTTTGGCAACATTTCCTTTATTTCAATTTCAACCAGATACTTTTTAAAATGGAAACAGAAGAAGTTCGTAAACGACAATTTGACTCGTATGCTAATGCTGATCAGGTAAATCTAACCGAATTTTTCGAATTTTAGGTTAGAAAAAGTTTTAGGTTAGAAAAAAAAGCCACCAACATATTATTTCGACATTTCGCTAATTTTTTTGAGAGCGTTTTGATAAACAAGTGGCGAATGGGGACGAGGATTTGAGTTCCCGCGCAGTAAGAAACCTAGGCCACGGTGGAGGAACGCATACTTTAAAGGCGCATATCTCAAAAACTAAAATTGCTAGCGACATGTTGTCCACTAACGAAAAGTGTAAAATTTTAAGATCTACATGTTTTGAATTTACAACATTTGGATAACTACTGTAGTTTTGGAGATGCAAGCGCTCAAAGCCGTCGCACTTTTTCAGCTTACAGAGGGACTCCCACCAAAATTTTTTTGTTCAAAAAGGTTTGAAAAGTTATGATATTTTTCCGATATTATTCCGAAAAATTCAAAAAAAAAATCGAAATTTCCGGAAAACGCCGCAGAAAGCTAAAAGTTTGCTTTAAAAAGTTTCGAATAGTTTCAAATCCCCGTCCTTATTTGCCGCTTTTTTCAAATTTTCAACGGCGTTTTTACAGGATTTCGGATTTTTTTGTTAAATTTTTTGCAATAATACCAGGAGCTTACTTAACTTTTCAAACATTTTAATGCGAGAAAAACTTTTTATGACCCAAAAAAAAAGAATAACAAGTAAAGCAACCATTGATTAAAACATTTTTAGGTGATGAAAGGGATCGATTTATCGGGAAAGACGTGTGTTATCACTGGAACAACATCTGGAATCGGAGTTGAAACTGCCAGATATCTTGCTTTGAAAGGAGCTCATGTCGTTATGTTGAATCGAAATGTAGCTGAATCTGAAAAACTGAAAAATAAGATAATTGAAGAGTACGGGGACGCCAAAGTTGATATCGTTGAATGTGAATTGAATTCTTTAAAGTCTGTATCCAAAGCAGCTGATGAGTATATAGCAAAAGAATGGTTAGTTTGAATTATTATTGGCTATTGATTGAAATATTTTTAGGCCAATCCACTGCTTGATTCCAAACGCGGGTGTTTGTGGGACTGCTTCTTGTAAAACTTCAGATGGATTCGAATCTCACTTTGGAGTAAACCATCTGTCCCATTTTTTGGTACTTATCATTTTATATCAATCCACCCTTCAAAAATCATTTTTCAGCTAATCCGCAAGCTTCTTCCGGTTATCCGAAAAACTCCACCTGCAAGAGTTGTGATTCTCTCTTCAACTGCAAACCAACGAACTGGAATTGATCTTTCACTCTCAAAAGAAGAAAAATTGAAACTTCTGTGCCCGGATAATCCATCGGAAGCCAACTGGTACCGTTTTTATGCTCGATCAAAGATGTGCAACACTTTGACATCATTCAAATTGCATCGAGACGAGTATTCCAATGGAATTCGTACATATTCTGTCCATCCAGGAGCACTTATCAGAACAAGTATCTTCAGAGACTCATGGTTAGCAACAATCGGAAGTATTCTGATTTCTCCTTTCACAAAATCCATTAGCCAAGGAGCCGCAACTACACTGTACTGTGCAACTCATCCGGAACTCGGAGATGTTTCTGGAAAATATTGGGATTCGTGTTGGGACGATGAGACTAAGTTGGATAAGGCGTTGGCAAGAGATGAAGAACTTCAAGATACTCTCTGGAATCATTCTGAAAAACTTCTGGAGGCTTATTTAAAATGAGAATAAATTCGATTTTTTAATCGTTTTTCTACCCAATGAGTAATGAACAATTGAAATTAGAATACCAGACATACTTTGGTATTTAATACAAATAAAATAAATGATTATGTTTAAAGTTCATTGTAATTCAACATTCAAAAAGACAAGAATTCTTTCTATCATCCAAGTATTTCATCAAAATGCTCTCTGAATGTTTCCACAACGCATCTTGCAATTCCTCATCTCTTGCCACTTCCTTGTACAGATTCTTCTCATCATCCCAATTTGATTCCCAATACTTTCCAGAAACATTCGCGACTTCCGGATGTCCAGCACAGTAAACAGTAGTCGATGCTCCCTGACTGATATTTTTGGTGAAAGGAGTTGATAAAATACTGGCAAAACTGACAAGCCACGAATCACGAAATATGCTTGTTCTGACACCATTACCAGGATGGACCGAGTATGTGCTGATGCCATTTATATACTCATCTCGATGTAATTTGAAAGCAATTAGCATATTGCACATCTTGGAACGAGAGTATAGCCGGAACCAGGAGGCATCTAGTGGACTTTCTGGACACAAAACTTTGATTTTCTGATCTATTGACATTTCAGGTGTCACTCCACAGCTTGCGTGAACAGAAGACGACACCAGGATTATTCTAGATGGCGTCGAATTCCGGATGATTGGCAGCAATTCCTGGATCAGCTGAAATCTTGATTTGTTTTGATAAACAACTGGGAAATTACCAAAAAATGGGCTAAGTGATTAATACCGAAATGTGATTCCAATCCGTCTAAAGTAGTTTTCGAGGCAGTTCCAAAAACACCAGCGTTCGAGATCAAGCAATGTATCGGCCTGAAAATTTTCTTGTAGTTAGAGGAGGATCGACCGAAAATTTCATTTATTATACATTAAAATCAATAGAATAAAAATCGAAAAACCTCAAAAAATTTCTTCAAAAAGACAAAATCTGTGGTCTCGTCCATTTTTGAAAACTTCTAGAACGTTCTGGAATCTTTTTTTCGAATTACCTCCAAAACTAGAAACTCTCCATTTTTCATTTGTGACATTTTTCTAGGGGTGGCCTAGAAATTTCCGTTTTCGTGGGAATGAAAAAAATTGAGAACCTTCTACATAGAAGTTTCTAGAAATGGACCAGATTTTTGAATAAAGTGGAGTCGCTCCTTTAAAACATACCAATGTTTTTCAATGAACACATCAGCAGCTCTTTTCACAGATGCCAACGAATTGAGATCACATTCAATAATATCAATTTCCGCATCATACATTTCTTCGACTATCTTCTTTTTAAGCTTTTCCGATTCAGCTACATTTCTATTCAACATAACCACATGAGCTCCATTGAAAGCCAGTGATCTTGCAGTTTCAATTCCAATTCCAGATGTTGTTCCAGTTATTAAAAATGTTTTTCCAGCAAGATTCACACCTTTAATTGTCTGTAAAATAATTGTTTGAAGAAAACGATTTGAAAAAATTACCACAGGCGCATATGTGCTCCCATTGAACTTCCTCGTTCTTGTTTTATTTTCAGACATTTTTGCTGACGAAAAGAATGATGAGTGTCGTCGTTTTATACGAACAAAAAGAAGGAAGAAAAAGAAGGAGAAAACAAAAAAGTGACGACGAAAAACAAGACAGAATGTGTAGTCAAGAGACACAGAGAACAAGAGCACGAGTGATTTGTGCTCTGCTTCTTCTTTAGAAAAAAAGAGCCATAAAATACTGTTATCTTTATTCCAAGTATTCAACTTTTTTCAGATCATAAAATCACATTTTCTAGGTTATCATTTTTTCTGTTTGATAAATTGATAATCAGTTCTTCCGAATACTTCCATAAAGCATCTTGCAATTCCTCATCTCTTGCCACTTCCTTGTCCAAATTCTTTTCATCGTCCCAACAAGATTCCCAATACCTTCCAGAAATATTCTGAACTTCGGGATGAGTTGCACAATAGACACTTGTTGCAGCTCCTTGACTTGCATTCTTTGTGAATAGAATCGAAAGAAAATCTGCGATACTCCAAAGTCCGAAATCCCTATGAAGGCCTGTTCTGACTCCAGATCCCGGGTGAATCGAATAGACACTGATCCCGTTTTTGAACTCATCTCGATGTAGTTTAAAAGCAGTCAACATGTTGCACATTTTAGATTTTGCATACAAACGAAAGTACCATTCCGAGGCATTTTTTGGACATAAAACTTCCATTTTCTTCTCGATGCTTGTATTTGGTTTTACACAAGTGTGCTTGCTCAGCATGGATGAAACAATCACAATTCTTGAAGGCGTTGAGTCACGGAGAACTGGGAGGAGTTCTTTGATGAGCTGAAAATTGATATAAAATGTTTTGAAATGTTTTAAACTGTCAATAAGATATACAAAACTTATTTTGCAGTTGATTCTTGGCCACTTTGACCATTTTCAGGAGTCTGGAGATCTGCTGTCAAGATTTCGGTTTTTAAAAAATTATCAAGGAAACTGTGATTTCCTTGAAATTCGAGCTAACAATCATCTCTCTACAATGATTTTGAGCCGAGTCATGGCTCGTTGAAGTTTTCTGGTGAGAGACGCAGAGAAACGAGAGTGCTCCTTGCTTCTGAAAATAGTCAAAATGACCAGAAACCAACTGAAAAATACTTTTTTTATGTATATGTATTATTGACTGGCACTGTACATCTGAAACTCACGATAAAATGAGCCAAATGGTTGATCCCAAAATGAGCTTCATATCCATCTGAAGTTGTTTTAGTAGTAGGTCCAAATACTCCAGCATTTAGTATTAATCCATGAAGTTTCCTGAAAAAAAGGATCTTTGATTTCTAATTCTTATCATTACCATTTCTTCTCTAAATATTTCTCCGCCGCATTTTGAACCGACGCCAAACAATTCAAGTCACATTGTATGATATCAATTTGAGCATTTGGTCTTTCCAGCAACAATTTATTTTTCAGATTTTCAGATTCCTTCAAATTCCTGTTGATCATCACGACATGCGCATTTTTCAAAACTAAAGCTCTCGCTGTTTCTACACCGATTCCAGATGTTGTTCCAGTGATTGCAAATATTTTTCCAGACAAATCGATTCCTTCCAGTACCTAGATTTCCAATTACTTACTTTTTGCTGAATAAAAAACTCACTTGGCTTGCATGAGTTCTAGAATGAAATTGCCGTTGTCTTCTGTCAACAGGCATTGCGAAATGAAGAAAAAAGAAAGAATAACTGTCGTTTGATTTGTGTCTTTATTTATAAAGAGGCGAAAATCTGCTGATGGCAAAGTTCGAAGAACGTTGGGGAGAATGTAGTCTAATGTAATCAAGTCAGTTATGTGTCATTTTTCGGATTCATAGTACAATAAGGCAAAATGAGACAATTAAGAAAGAGAAAGCTCCAGAACTGGTCCCGGCACCGCGGAGAATCCATGATCGGTTTTAGTTTTGATGATTTTCTGAAATTAAAAACAATATATAATTCTCTATGCAAAGTTACCGGTGGATGCTCGGCGTAGGATCCGACATCAGCCTTGGTGAATTTCTTGATTATTAAGACTCCATTATTGTCTTCGTAGTTGGATGAATCCATAGTTTTCCCGTTCTCATCCACAAATAATCCTTTGAATTCGCCTTCAAAATGGAAGATCTGCTCTCCAGCAGCTACTTTTCTCTTAATTGCTTTTGCTCCTTTGAAGACGCCGATTTCGACTTTTTCGTTTTCCTGAAACACAAAGTACCGTAAAAACTGTGTTAGATAATAGAAGGGCCCCTCTAATAGAAGGGACCTCAGAGAGGACTTGCTCAATTTTGTTTATAATAAATTTTGAATGAAAATTCGCCGAATTTTTCTATGGACATTTTTGGGAAAGATGGAAAAATAGAAGGGCTCCTCTCTATTTAAAGGGCCCCTGTAATAGAAGGGACCTCCGGTGGTAGCTTGGAAGAATAGGAGGGCCTGCCTTTCTGATACAGGCTTTGCGGTAATTTAATTAATTGTATTGGGAAAACATTGAGATACAGTACCGGTCAATAAGTGATACAAAAATTTTTTAAAGATTTTCGGCCATTTATTGACCATTTTCAGGAGTCTGGAGCTCGGCTGTCAAGTTTCCGACCACTTTGAAAATTTAGGAGGGTGTAAAGCAGACCTAGATTAAAAACTTTGCATTTATAGAATTTTTTTTGAAAATTCCTAGTTTTAAAGCTATTGCCGATTTTTGGAAGACACCTGCTTTTTCATGTTTTTAGTACAAAAATAGGAAAAAGGGGTGTCCTTCAGAAATCGGTCAGTAGCTGAAAAACTATGAATTTTCAAAAAATTCTAGGAATGCAAAGTGTTCAATCTAGGTTAGCTTTACACCGTCCTAAAATTTCAAACTGATCGGAAACTTGACAGCCAGACTCCTGAAAATGGCCAAAAATCAACGGAAGACATTGTAGGGTAGACTTCTATTAGAGAAAGTACGGTACTAATGACACCTAGTAAATAAGAACCATATGTTTTTGTATATCTTATTGACCAATCTTGTATATACTCACTTTCACTAGCTGTTGAGCCACCGAAGCCTCCGTGGAGATGCTCAGAAGTGCAAGAAGTAAAAATGAACAAATGACGATACGATTCATTCTGAAATCAAATAAAACTGGGAATCTGGTGTAAAGCAAATTTGGGAAAACAGAAAATTGTTGTGTCTAAAGGCAATGTGAGAGAAGAGAAGGCAATCGTTTCTTGATTTATTGGTCATCTGTTGGCTGAATTGAGGTCACGCCTCTCTGGTTGCTTTCCGATTTGTTTATTTTTTAGTCAAACATATGGGACAAACGAATTGGGAAAAGTATAAGCATTTTTATTCGGGAATTTCGAAGCCTAAAAAAACACTTAAGAAAGGGAGATGTGAAGAACTGGTCCCAACACTGAAATAAATCCATCTTTAGTTGTGGACTGAAGAACTTTCTGGAAAAAAACCCCCTATAGAGTTATTTACTTTCGAGAGACACTACCTTTGGGTGCTCGGTGTATGATCCTACATCAGCTTTGGTGAATTTTTTGATAACTAGATTCCCATTTTTATCTTCATAGTTGGATGAATCGATTTTCTTTCCATTTCCATCCACAAAAGATCCTTTGAATTTCCCCTCAAAATAGAATACTTGCTCTCCAGCGTCGACATTTCTTTTTATAGCTTTTGCTCCTTTGAAAACAGCCAGCTCGAGCCGTTCGCCTTCCTGTAATTGTTTTTTTTTTCATAATGTTTGTTAAAAATTGCACCTTCACAGTCTGATGGCCTATAGAAGCTTCTCCATGAAAAGCGAATGATGCGAAGATGAGGAAAGAAAAAATTATGAAACGATTCATTCTGAAACAAAGTTTTGAGAATTAAAAAAAAAAGATAGAATGTGAATAAAACAAAGAAAGAATGTGATGACAAAAGAACTCGAAAATAAAAACAATGAGTAACTGAGAGAAGGGACTCTTGTGTCCTGATTTATTGGTCATGTGTTGTGAGGAGAAGTTCCATCCATTTCATCCTATGATTCATTCTGGGTATATTCTACTAAAAATCCGGCATTATTTCGCAATCAAACTCAAATTACAATTTTCCACTACTCGAAGAGCCAATCTTTAAACGGCAGAGTTGTGTTTGGTCTCATGAACAATTTTCAGATAAATTGGACCAGCAGATGGAAACTCGGCATAGCTTCAGCCTTATATTTAAAATATCTCAAGCCCTCATATAGTGCCCGGGTAACTCCCATATCCTCCGGGTAACTCCCAAATAGCCTGGGTAACTCCCGTTTCGGTTGGGTAACTCCCAAACTTCACGGGTAACTCTCACATCAGCTCTGATTAGGCCCCAAACCTCTCCTCAGAATTACTTGAGTTTGCTGAGAATTTTTGCGTTCTTTCACACCTTGGAAAAGATCCAGTTCTGCTCTCTGGCCACTCTAAGAATTATTTATTTTCAAATGGACCATACAATTTTGCTTACCTTGACTTTAATCCGAAACATAGCAGACTCTGAGATACCAACAAAGGCAAAGAGTAGAATAGAGAAAATGACAAAATAGCCCATTTCGGAATGTTTTAGTTTTTAGGCCTATGGTTAGTTTGTTCTAGACCAAGCTAAAAAAATCTTCGAAGCGTTTTATAAACAGATTTTTACAAAACATATGATGTATATATTTTGAGAATATCGGCTTCCGGTGTGAAAAATAAAAATCAAAACGAAAGTGAAGTCAACAAAAATCAATTCTCGAAGCCTCCCTGCCGGGGCTCAACCTCCTGGCTTTCGCCTACAGTATCTTACGCTTAAATGTCTGATTGGAGAACTTCCGAGTTTCTGAATCACCAAAATTTCTGAATATTTTAATTTCCAATTTTTTAAAAATTCCGGATAACTAATTTTTCGAAAATATGAATTCCGGGATTTTCGAATTCCTGAATTGAAGTTCTAAATTTTTTAGAATTACTGAATTTTTGGAATTTCTGACATAGGGATTTTCTTGATAACAGGATGCCTGAATTTATAACATTCTGGATTTCTAACTTTAAACTTCAAGATCTCCGGATTTCTGGATTTCCCGAGTTTCCCGAGTTTTCCAAACCTCTGATTTTTAAAATGACTAACAACAAGTTTTTGAAATTCAAATTTTCTGGATTTTTCAATTACTTCCATTTCTAACAGATTTTGAAAATGCATTTATTGGGAAATAGTGAAATTATTAAAGGGCAGTTGATTTTGCAATGTCGATTTCAGAGCTAAATTTATTCGAGGGAGATGTTGAGGGTGAGTCCTGGAACAGCGGAGATGGATCCATCAGCGTGTTTGGTCTCAATGTTCTTCTGAAATTGAAAGGATTAGAACGAATTTTAAAAAACTTGATAGCTTACAGCGTTGTGCTCGGAGTATGATCCAACATCATCCTTGGAGAACTTCTTGATCACGAGGATGCCATTCTGAACTTCGTAGTTGGAGGACTCGACCTTCTTTCCCTTAGCATCAACGAATGATCCCTTGTGCTCTCCATCAAAGTGGAAGACTTGCTCTCCAGCTGGGACGGTTCTGCTAATGGCTTTGACACCCTTGAAGGAATCCAGCTCGACTTTCTCTCCGTCCTAAAACGTGACAAATATGTTCGAAATTCTGAATATCCTATACAAACCTTGACGCGCTGTTGAGCAAGAGCCGCTTGAGAAACAGCAAAGATGGCGACAAGAAGGAAAGAAGCAAGGATGAAACGGTTCATTTTCTGAAAAAAAAGATTATGGGATAGTAAAAAATTCAAAGAAGTAATATAGAATTCGACAGGAGGATCTTGAAGAAGTGGTAAAATAAGTCTCCGGTATCAGCGTTAAATAGTGTCGTCAGCCAGAAGGCGCCGCCCGTTTAAAATAGGATACAACAGTTGGCTGATGAGAGAACGAAGGATCTGCCCACTTTTCCATCAATCACTTTGTTTTTATTGTTTGTTTGGAAAACGAAGAGAGAAAAAATCTGGTCAAAGGAGGAAGAAAATATATTTCTTTCGAGAGGTACTAACGATTTTTCAAAGATTCTTAGAAGAAAAACCAGGAAGTTGAATGGAGTAGGTGTACAATATCTTTTTTGCACCTTCAGGGGGTATTGAGGAAAGGTCATTTGGAGAAACTGGATTCGGAGACAGAACCGAGAAGAATGAGGCGGGGTTTATTTACTTTGGAGATCAAAAAGAGATCAAAAGAGAAACTAAGGATAGAAACATAATATGGATTTTAAGATGAACTAGGAATTGAAAATTTCTAATAATTGGAATCACGGAATCTAATACAGGGTGCGCAAAAGTATGGTAACACATTCAAAGTGCTGTAACTTCTTCGAAAATATACGAAAATACTTGAAAATTTGACAATAGTTCACTGAATATTTTCTAAAAATGAAGTTATAAAAGTTGTTCGATGCCATTGCCTTTGTTCAAAAAATCCATGAACCTCTTCGGGACGGCATCTACTGTGTCACGGGGTTGTTTCGGGGTTTTTTGGCCCATTCTAGGTCCAAACTTTTTCTCAATGACTTCAAATTGAGTTGTGTAAGTTCTCAGACTCTTGCCTGAAAAACTTTATATATAGGGTAGTCCAGCAGCTTCATGTCTGGCAACGTGGCTTTCCGTTTGCAAGTCGTGCTGAGCCTTGAAAAGTTGGCCGTGCAACCTGGCTGAAAGATTTTCGCTTTGTAGACGGGAGTAGAATCCTGTTAAACAACATAGTTTTTAAAATGGGATTTGGTCCACGAAAGCAAATGCCACTTAAAAATTTCCTCCTACTAGTACTCTTAGTTGATTTCCACCATAAGATATACAAAAATCAGAATTCGGAGGTTGTTGCACCAAACACGACATCGTTCTGAGGATAGGAAGCTCTGTTGGTCATCCAACCCTCTTTATTAGCTAGCTTAGATCTCGGGGCAAACACTCTACAGTTTCTTGATAAAGATTCGGCTTTCACCGCAAAGAGTTTCTTGTCGGCGTACACCATCTTCATGTGTTCATTTTGGCTCGTGCCAACAAATGGAGGTTTGCACTTCTGGATTCATACTAGAACGTTATTTCCTTGTTCAGAACTCCAGCCTTTTCAACACGATATAGGGTTAATCTGTGCTCATTTTTTACGATTCATCTGACTGATTTACTGTTTAATCACAGCTCCAAACTCATTGTTTTCATGATTCCCTGGGATTTCGAAGAACTCGTTTACTGGCGGCCTTGATTCTCTCCGGAGTAACCAAAGTTCAAGGTATTACGTTTTTCAGAATGTTCTCAAGCGTATTCAACTAATAAAACTATTCGATGATTCTCCACACGGTGGTTCGTGAGATTCCAAGAACTCAATGCGACTTGTTCCCACTTCCTTATGACTTCCTCGACGAGGGTGTCTTTTGAGACATTAAATCATAGCCTCAAAACCGTTTCAGCGCCAACCATCCTGTACTAAACTTGTGTTACCATACTTTTGGCGCGCCCTGTATTTAGAATGTCCAAGCAGAATGATAATGATTCTTCAGTTATGCATGCTATTTTTTTGCTGTTCCATGATTTTTGAACATAAAACCTTTGGACCAGTTTCCGGCACAACAAAAAGAAGAAAAATAAGAAGATGAGTGAGACCAAACAGTTGGTACTCCTGTCTCATTGTTCAGATTCCATTCGTAACTCGTTTAATGTTCTTTGTGAAGTGATATTTAGAAATCGAGGCATCTGAAAACAACCTCTGAATCATCTGAAAACAATTTTTAACGAGATAAAAGGTCAAATTTTATGAGCGGTTGATACAACTGATGACGTAATTGTTGACCTTGAAGTATTAGGTTGGCGGGAAAGNCTTTGTNACTTTTTCAATAGTTTATTTCTCAAAGAAAAAATAACCGAATAATTAATTATATTGTCCATCATTATCAACAACATGTCTCCAACGTTCCCTCAATTTATGGATTCCATTGCGGTAGAATCCAGCCGGGCGTGAGGCAAAGTATTGTTTGAGTGCCGCTTCGACCGCTCCACGGGAATTGAAGCTTCTTCCTTCGAAGGCACGTGTCATATCGCCAAATAACCAATAGTCGGAAGGAGCAAGATCAGGAGAATACGGGGGGTGAGGGAGAACATTCCATCCATATCCCATCAGCTCCTGCTTCACTTGTTTCGAAACATGTGGGCGAGCGTTATCATGTTGATAGTACACTTTCTTGTCTTTCAGGGCCGAACGGTCGACTGCTTTCTTGAGGTTTCGTAGTTGAGTAGTGTAGAGGTCTCCAGTTATTGTTTTGCCCTCGGGCAGAAGTTCCCAGTAGATGGGGCCGTCCACTCCCCACCACACAGAGAGCATAACTTTTTTCGGATAAAGGTCGGGTTTGGGGACATCCTATGGGCTCTCTCCTTCTCCAACCCACTGGGATTTCCTGTGGTGATTATCGTAGAAGACCCACTTCTCATCTCCGGTTATTAGCCGGTCCAGCCATCGATCGCCCGCGTGGAGAGTGAGAAGAGTAATCGAATCGTCGACTCGGCGGTCAAGGTTGGCTTGAGTCAGGTGATGAGGTATGAATCGACCAAAAAGTTTTCTCATTCCAAGAGACTTCAAACCTTCAAGGACTGTGCTATGGTGAACTCCGAATGTGACAGCTAGTTCACGGCTAGATTGAAATGGATCCGATTGCAATGCGTGCTTCAGCTTGTCCAAATCCAACTCACGGGGTCTCCCAGAGCGATCCTTTTCATCGAGCGAGAAGTCATCTTTTTCGAAACGATGGAACCAATTGCGAATAGTATTGTAGTGAGGGGCATGTGTGTTGTACACATTCTTCAAGAAAGTTTCCGAATCCTTCATCGTGGTGTGAGATAGGAAGAGGTAAATCAAAACATGTCTGATGTGAATAGCAGTGGGAACAAACATATCGTTTCAATTACAGATGAGGAGCAGGGAAGGAAATGGGGACTTGTTTATATGGAAGGTTCTTATCACCTTGTTATTCACTAGAGTCGATATCATACACAGCCTCCATATACGAGAACAGTGATTAAACAAACAGAGTGACAAAGACTTTCCCGCCAACCTAATAGAACAATAATACAACAGAAGTTTCTTGTAAGACGGAAGTAAATGATAAGAATCATAACCGGAGTAGGTTGAATATGTACTTTATACGGGCTTGTTTTTTGTTGATTCACTGGTATTGATTTCCTGGTTTTCAGGTGTATTGATCATTAGATTTTCTTTTTTTGGAGCGTGTGAAACGTACTTAGTTTTTCAGGCAAATATAAAAACAAAATGTTTGATGGAAAAGAGTTCTTCAAGATGTCATCTCAAATTCTATCTATCCGTTCTTGATGCTTTTCGCTATCCGATAAATAATCGTTCTTTCAGAAAATGAACCGTTTCATCCTTGCTGCTTTCCTTCTCGTCGCCATCTTTGCTGTTTCTCTAGCATCTGTTGCCCAACAAAAAGTCAAGGTCTTTATTGGATATTCATAATTTCGAACATATTTATCACGTTTTAGAACGGAGACCGATTCGAGCTTCGCCTCTTCAACGGAGCCTTGGCCATCAGCAGAACCGTCCCAGCTGAAAAGCAAGTTTTCAACTTTATTGGAGAGCACAAGGGATATTTCGTTGACGAAAATGGAAAGAAGATCGAGTCGTCCAACTACGAAATTCAGAACGGCATTCTCGTCATCAAGAAGTTTACCGATGCTGATGTTGGATTATACTCCAAGCACCCAAATGTAGCTGCCAAGTTTTTTGTATTCGAACTGTCTAATTTTCTGAAATTTCAGGAGAAGATTATGACCACGAACGATGATGGAACCATCTCCGCTGTTCCAGGACGTACCCTCCGCATCTCCCTCGAATAAATTTAGCTCTGAAATCGACATTGCAAAATCAACTGCACTTTGTTAAATTTTTTCCTACAGTGTTAAATTTTTTCCTCCAGATTACGTTACATGTCTCCTAATAATCAATAATGAAAGGGCCAAATCAGTAGTTTGAGGACCCGTCCAGCTGAAGCCGTCTAGGTCTTACTTGACTCCCCGTGGAACATAGAATCTCGTTTTGTTTAAGGAACGGCAATTCAGTCCTAAGCCGCTTTGGTTGAACGGCTTTCAACTTTCCTTAAAGTCCAGACTTGGTCCTTTCATTATTGGTTATCTGGAGATATACAACGTCATCTGGAGGGAAAATAATTTTGCACTGTCGATGAGATAAAAACGGCACTTTAAGAATACTTTGATACGCGGCCAGCTGGCTTTTCGAGGTATGGTATCCACAAGTTACCTGAATGTTGTCAGCATGTCGTGCACCACGACGGTGCATACTGTCAATCTTTGATAATTCTTGTTTTTGTGTTATTCACGAATTGAATAATGGACAGTTACTTTCCTTCCAACCTAATATATTCCAATAAATACATTTTAAAATCTGTTCGAAATGGAGAATATTGAAAAATCCGGAAACTTTGAAAACATAGTTATGTGGAAAATCAGAAGTTCGGGAAACTCAGGAAGATGTCCGAAAATCCTGAGATCTTGAATTTCGAATATTGAAAATTTCAGAAATCCAGAAATTTATATATTCAGGCATCCTATTATCAAGAAATTCAGAAAGTCAAAAACTTCGTAAATTTCGTTATTCTGAAATTCTGAAAGTCTGAAGTTCAGGTATCCAGAAAGTGGTACTTCCGAAATTCAGGAATTCAAACATTTCGGAATTCAGAATTTCTGAAAATCAGTTATCCGGAATTAAAGATTTTGAAAAATTTTAAATATTGGAAATTAGAATATTAATAAATTTTGGGGATTCGGAAGTAGGCGGAAGCCAGGAGATTTTGCATTCCCAGAACTTTTTTGAAAATTCCTAGTTTTCCAGGTACGCCCAGTTCTTAAAGACGCTTGCGTTTTTCGCGCTTTTAGGACAAAAAGCGGGCTGAAAGGGATATTATCGTTTTACGAGAAAGTGAATCTTGAGACGCAGACAGATAAACAAAAAATTTCTCTGCGTCTCCATCGTTTGCGTGTAGTTTCTTGTCGCCGCTTCGATATCCCTACCGTATTCAAACTGCAAAAAATACCCTCTAAGTGCCATTTTTTCGGACAACAATAATATCTTTCAGAAATCGGCAAACACAGGTAAAATGCGAACGGACCCGTTACGTTACAGCGTTCGCGAGCGGTTGAAATAGGAACCGCATACAGACCGCACGCGACACGTTTTCAGAAAACCACAACACATTATTCCGTATTCCCCTGTATTCTCACCGTTCGCGTAAACTTAAACTTCCTACTGATTCGCAAACGGATCCGTTTGTTCATCATTCGCAATCGGATCGGATACGGAGTTTGCGAACGGATAGAATACAGAGGAATACGGAATAATGTGTTCACAGGTAAAATGCGAACGGATCCGTTACAGACGCTCAGCGTCAATTCTAGGATTTCTATTATTTTGATTTGAGAAGAGGAATAGTCTCAAAGTTGATGAAGTGTAGAAAAAAAAGAGAAAGGATACGAATCCAAAAAAGGAAAAGACATAAAAACCTCAGTTGTGAAGGGGAGTTGGGTTGTCAAGAACTTGAGAGGTCCAGTTTGACTCGTAGCTCTCTTACCAATAAAGCTAGCGTTTCTGAGCTTCGTTTCGCGTTCAAAGTAAATTTACAGGAAAAGTTTCCTGGGAAACGCTGTCCAAAGCGACTGATACCGTAGTTTAGAGACTCTGAAATCCTGGAAAACATTGGTAGCTTTTTACAGCGTTTTCCAGAAAATTGTTCGAAAATTTTCCGGGAAATTTACTTGAACCTGAACTTACAATTGTGAAAATGCGCATTGTCAAAGTTGCTTCAAAATCACTACAGCATGCAAGAAAAGTTCATCTTTGGACAATCATAACAATTTATATTTTTAATAATTTTT